CCCCCCCCCCCCAAAAAAAAAACAGAAAAACCCCCCCCCCCCCCCCCCCCCCACTGGTTGCAATTAAGGAATAGAATTTTGCTTAAGGTCATCTAAAGTTAGTGTTTACTTTTCATTTCCAGAAATTACACTGATGAAAAAAATCATTTTTCTCATTCAAACATTAAAAATTAATAATAACAATTTTCAACGAACGAAAAAAAACCCCCAAAGATATCCTTTTGAAAGGCCCCACTTTTGAAAAAAAAAGAGGGGGGTGGGGGAAACGGTTCATGGGTGGCTGCCGGTGCCACTGCTCCATAATTGAGTACGCTACAGCCCCCAGCATCTATTAAAATACTAAAGCTTGTCAGGGCCAATATTTCAGGTTTAACTTAATAGTCTATTTAAGGGGCCCTAAGAAAAATTTAATCTATCAACCTTAAATTTAAGGGGGGCAAAACTGAAACGTTGCTTTTTTGCAGCGTCTTCTTCTTCTAGAGGTATCGGGAGTATATGTCAAATCCAAACCATCTCTCTTCGTAGCTTTGCAAGAGAAACCACACCATCTTCTCGCTTAGATGAGCGAATACATTTAACTTTAAGCTTTAATGGTGCAATGGGCTAGGAAAATTTAATTTATGGCTTATGGGCTATGCTTTTATATTTAAAAGAACTTACAACTTTTTCTTTGCCCCCCCCCCCCCCCACACTTTTTACTTTATGTGCGTGTATCTTCTTATGAATTTAATAATTTTTATTTGTGGATGTGGACATACATTAAAAATATACAAATTTTCACACCGATCAATATATTTGTAAGCACATTTAAGGACACTAAAGAGAAGATGCAATCTCGGAAATAGGTCTACTTCGCTAGAAGGTGACACCGTACAACGTTAAAGCCATTCATAAATTCATCTTATAATGTGAGCAAAGAAGTCTATATTTACGATTCCGGCCGACTATAGTTTATTATTTTTAGATTCATTTTTATTTGTCTTTTATAACAACGGGTAAAACTTTTTTTTAATTAAGTAAATGAAAATTTTTGAAAATAGGAGGGGAGAATAATGTATTATTTAACTTTTAATTTCTATGTAATAAAATATTGTTAATCACCAGGCAATTAATTATTTTTTTTTCGGGTTATTTAGAGGAAAGACACCGATAAGTAGACTTAGCCGGAAATGTACGGAGTCATAACCTATTCAGTTGTTTACTAAAATTATCAAACAAAGTCTACGATATGCCAGATGATAAAAACTATGTTCGGTTGGAAAGTGATTATAAAAAAATATGGTTTTAAAAAGTGGCACCTAAAATCATGATCTTTTTATATTACGCTATTCTGATACATTTTTAAAACGTACAGCTTATGTCTCAAGGCATAAAAATGGACGGCCTAATGACTAATGAAGTGTGGAATCTGTTTTTCGTACACTAATTTATTTTATTTATTTACTCACTAATCTTAGTCTTAGACACTTATGACTAAAACTATAATACACCAATTTATAATTGCGAATAATGTTATGTTTACAAATTAATTACCAAGATAACAGGTTCTTTAATTTAAAAAAATGGCTCCAAAGCAAGAATGCCTAGACCTGGCTTTCTTTGACATAGTATATAGTTTTTCTAACATTTTTGAAAAAGAAATTGATTTAAAATCAAATTGCTATCTCTAGATAGTAATAGTGTATAAGTCCTGGATTTAACAAAAAAAATTATTGGCTGCAAAAGTCCTCCAACTCCATGGACATGGATAGTGACGACGAAAGAGATTTGGAACATGACATCGATCATGACCGGAATGAAGATTACAGTGCTGGACATAACACACTTGAAGAATCTAGTGAGATGGATCAGAAATCCTCCATGTCTACGATGTCATCACTCACTGGATTTCTATTTGGAAATATTGATGAAAAGGGTAAACTGGAGGAGGACTTCCTTGATGAGGTGAGAGCATAAAATAAAGAATTTGAACTTTACAGGCTATCAATTAATAAAGCTCTCATCATTAGTGTTGACGTCCTTAAATTAGTAGGCTTAAAGCCAATTAAATATTTCTCTTACCAACAGATCTTTTGAAAAATGCATGTGATTCATTGGGGTTAGGCTAAACATAATTTACATTGAAGTAAAAATGTCAATTCAAACATAAATTAAAGTTATAATTAAAATAATAATTTAAATATCGAACATTGAAATGTGCTATTTTCAATATTTTATTTTCACTTAGAAAAAACATCAAATATTAATTAGAGGCTAGCCGGGTACTCATTTTTATATTATATATGTAAGACTGAGCAGAGAGGTATAATGATGCCTTGCTTATCTCATGACTTATGATTGATACAACTAAAGGATAAGTAATTAAACTGCTAGTAGGATACGATTTTTGACCAACCTTATGATATGAATGAAAACCTGTTGTTGTTTCCTTATGTTGTTATTCATCTTTTTACTTCTTGGATCTTTCCTTGCCTGTTTTAAAAATAACATTTTATTTATCATTTCGCAAAATTAATTCATGATTTTATCAAGGCATCAAGGTAAACTAGCTTGATGCTGGCATTTAAAAAAAAATAATATTTTATTTAAATTTATAAAAAAATCTCTTAATATTTAAATTTAAAAAATTTCTTTTAATTTGAATATTTAAATAATTTCTTTCAATTTTAATATTTGAAAACTGCTTTAATAAGCTACTATTTAATGAAAAAATTGTTTCTTTCCACATTTAGGATTCAAAACGGCAACTTGGCTCTCTCTCTCAGTTGGGCATTGGAGCTATGGTGCAAGAGATTGCATGTGATGCCAATGGAGAAATAGGGCATAGCAGTCTTGAAGAAGGTTATTTTATTTTTATTCTTATGACACACATAATCTAATACATTTTTATTGTTACAATCTTAAATGTTAATGCTCTTTACAGAAAGTATTTACTATGTCTCTACGCCCAGTGAATACTGAAAATAATTCTCTCATGTGTTAATTTAATTTTTTAAATCCAATCATAGATTATGACAATAAATCTCCAACTGCCATAGACTTTTCTGACATCACAGAGGCTGCAGATGAAGATGACGATGATGTAAGCCAGTTAGACAAAGTAGATCATGAGTCAAAAGGTACAGCTTGAATTATAGACTTTTTAGAATGAGAGACTAGAAGTGAGATCAATCTGAAAATATTTATAAAAAATAATTGGTTGTTTTTTGTTGTTTTTTTGCTACTTATTGGTTAAGGGCGCCTAAAGAAAAGACGTAATCTCGGAAATAGGTCTACTTCGCTAGAAAGTGACACTGTACAATTAAATATTATATGTAATATTCCCTAAATATTTTCTTATTCTTTATAAGATTTATACATACATTTTAATTATTCAGATACATCAGTGATTTTAAATTTGATGTGAAAAAACACTAGAAAAGGCAATATTTAATTCGCATTCTTTAACGGAAATTCATTAAGGAAGTTAAAGAATTTTCATGACTTTAAATAGCCTTTGAAGCAGTGCAATTATTTCTGTTTGGTTTCAAAATGTTTCTTTTGGTATTAAATACTTTGAAGGAAATAAAACATAAAAAATAGTCTCACTATTTATATCAAATATGCAATTTTTAAGTAGTTCGAATGGAGGAATTGTTTGTATAGACTTTGTTCTTAAATCAATTGTGTCAGACTCTCAAGACAGTCAAGAAGATGATAGAAAGCTGATGCCTCCTCCATCATGGCTGCCGTGCCCCACTCAACCAATCAGTGTTGTTACCTCAGACAGCGGGAATAGTTCTGGTAGGTACAAATTTTTTGAATCACAAATAATTTACTTTGTTATATGAAGTGAGAGTGGTGTTGATGTAGATAAAGGTGTTGCCAATAAAATTGAGGCCTTCTTTTGAAATAAAGGAAAAATGTGGCATCTTCGGTATTGAAATGACCTAATAATAAGCATATATTCGTGAAAAGTTATAAAAACATCTCAGAGTAAAATTTCTTGCTCTTAAATAAATTAAAGCGTTTTCTTAATATTTCATGTTTCATGTCAGTTTTCCTTTATTCATCTGTATGTTTTGTTATGTTTGTTGTTCAAAAAGAGTCTTTAAATTTATATGTTATTAGTCAAGGTTAATTAATCCATTTCTCCTCAGTGTTTGCTTATCTATAATGTGCTTTGTGTACTGTTCACCATTGTGATTTAACACACTTAATCATATAAATTCACTTTCAGCATCGTTTCTAATTATTCCATATTGTTGTGTTTCTCTATCGTGAATGGTGTTTGGTATCTTGAACTATTAGGAATCTACTTTTGTTAGTCCTGCTTTGTATCTTAACTTTAAACCCATATATAAATAAATTAAAGTACTTTAAAGATCAATATGTTGTGAAATTGGTGGTTATTTTCACCTGGGCACTTTGAAATTTAGATATTGTTGGTAATTGTAGGAACACATTCCAACAAAACTTGGCAGTATTATAGTTTCTAAAATGTGCAATATTTCAATATTAAAAAAAAAATAGAGATCCGTTTTTGTTTTTTACATTTCTGACAAAGAATTAACATTCAATTTAATTCTTAATTCAAATACATTTATTTACAAGGATTCAAATTAGTATGATTGTCAAGCCTAATAATTTAAAAAAAGCTCATAATTAAATTTTAAAAACAAAATAGGAATATTAAATGCAGAAACATGATTTTTTATTTGAAAAAAATGTATACTCCTTCAACCAACTGGCCTATCATGGTTGGGGGAAACCCCAAACTATAGCAAAAGTATTTTTAGTAATAAGCAGCACAATTTGAGTAAATTGTTTAATTAGCTCCGAATTCTTTAACATAATGGGCAACAACTGCAATCATTTTAAAACAATTTCATTAATGATCATTTATTCTATTGCCTCAGTAATAAAGTATACACATTATTTCAACTAGCAGATTTAATAAAGATTGGGCAAGGGGACCAGGGTCAGTTAATTTTGGACAGTCAAGGTTTCTTCATGCTCTTTCTAGCATCAGATCAACTTTCTAATATTTTTGCATGCAAGCCTCTATCCAAATAAATTGTAAAAATTTTTCAAAGAAAAATGCCCTTAAGGCGATTTGTATTCTTTGTTGGTTGTTTATTATTATTTTTTTTAAGTTGCTTTGAACATTTCATCCCTTCTGAGCAAAAGGAAGATGTTAAATATACTTATTTTAAATGAAAAACGTAATCTTTCTGTTCTTGATAAAGCAGTGGTTTTCAACCTTGATGGTGTAAGCGTGTTGCCAGATATTAAAAAGTATTTTTTGGCATTTGATTTACTCAGTATAAGTCATATAGTACCCATCTTACATAATAGGCCAACAATAATAATTTTAAAAAAATGTTTAAGGTGCTCCTCACTTGAATGGCATGTTGCAGAACTTGACTAAATAAGTGTCTTGAGCTTTAAGATAAAAATGTTTTAACATTTCTGGCATAGAGGATTTAATTTTTGCAGACTGTAGTGGATCCACAATATGAGTGTAAAATTTTGAAAATGACTGGCGCCATGTAAAAAGTTGCGTTAAAAAAATTTTTCCTGTTATTTTTAATACGTTTTCTGGAAGATAAAAAAAACCCACGATTCCAGGATGTATTGAATCCACCACTGTTTGCAGCTATCTAATTAACACAATCTTTTGCATAATGAAAAAGATACGTTGATCTCTTTTTTTAATTTCAGCTTCAGGTCCACTCACATCAGTAGCTAAAATGTCTACTGGTAAGGCACATAACATTATGTGTTAAAAAAAAAGTGTGAAAAATACTCTTACATTTTTTTAGCAATCACAATAGTTATTTGAATGTGCAAAGTAATCCTAAAATGATTAAATTCAGCCTAGATTTTTCAAAAAAAATTATTTAACAGGGATTATACATGAGTTTTGAATTAAATTCAATAGACATAGGACTTTGAGTTAATATAGCATAAATTTACTAGATAGATGTATATTTTGTAATTCGGCTTGGATAACTTTTACATAGTTTTTTAATCATTATTTCTTTATTTTGAAATAACTTTTTTTTTCATCTGGAGGAAACTTGTGGTTAACTTATTGTTCTAGTTGGTACATTAGAGCAGAGCTGAGCTCTGGTTAACTTGAAATAACATTTTGTTTATGATTACAAAAATTTTTCCTAAAATAACTTTTCCTCTTCCTACAATAACTAACACAATTTTCATTTGCATAACTCTTGTATTGTTATATTGTAACACTTAGACTCTAATCTATACTTGATTATAACTTCATTTGTAGGTTTCCCCCATGTTCAAATATAAAGGGAGGCAATTTTAAATATTCATTCCATGTTTATCAGTGATTCCTATTGCTCAAGATGTAAAGTTTTAAATACTTAAAAAGTTACTATTAGAATGAGCAATTATTTAGTAAATAAATTGCCCCAAAAGACAAAAACAGGTGATAATCTTTCACCTGTGTACAGGACACATACAAGTAACTTCCCATCTTAAGGGAATAAAACCAGACAAAATTCCAATGTGCCCCTGCTGCAGACATCAGAATGAGACAGTAGCATGTCACCTCTTCCACTGCCCTGCGAGTTAAGCCTTCCGCCCAAATTGCCTACCAAAAACACCAGACTGCACCAACACCCTATATACCAACAAAGGACAGCTGCACAGAGTGTGTAAATTCAGCAGGCGGGAAGGGCATATGTCTAAATGATGAGGTTGAATAATAATTTATCCATAAATAATCATCAGTTCAGGGTCTGTTATAAAAGAGCCAAAAAGCTATATGATTCTGGAGAATTTTAAAAATCTATCACAGCCATTTAGCATTCAATTGTGCATTCAAAAAATGCTAGCTGTAAACTCATTCAGATTTCTTTTTTCAACTTTTCTTCTGTTTTTTTTTAAAATATAGATTTCAATGTAGTGATAAATACATTCTCACAAAAACATGATTCTTTATTATAAATTTAACTTTAAAAAATAACAGTAAAGCCAATATTTATAATTTACTATTTAAAAAAAAAAAATATATTATTCAAAAGGATATACAGTTCGACAATTATTTTATTGATCTATCATAGATATATTTTTTTAAAAACATAATTGTGTCTTAAAAGTTTTAATTGCTTCTTAATAGACTTTAAAATTAAATGGTCATTACCTGGTAATTTCTTTGCAGTATTGTAGCCAAATAAGTTTAGCCATAATAATCTTAGACTTAGTGGCATAATTTAATCCCTCCTCTATATTGTAGTTCTAAAATACCATTTAAAAAAAAAAAATTATAGTATAGTTTTAGAATAAAAAAGAATCAGTTTTTAATTTTTAAAATATCAATAAAAGAAATTGCAAAAAATTAAAAACCATCTGTCTTGGCTGGCAACAGGACATGTAACTATTTACATTCTGTCTTGAGAAAGGCCAAAAACAATATGAAAACTTATATTTTTATGTTCACAAAATGAATGTTTCATACTCACCAAATTGTGTTGTGTTGTGTTTCTTTGTATTGCACAAGCTTTGGCTCTTGTCCACAATAAAATGATATCCTTTAAGTATTCAAGTGTCAACCTGGCTTTGAATTATAATTATAATAAATTACTTTAAAAAGAATAATTAAAAGAAAATTTAGTCCAGTCATTTTACAATCATTGTATGTCAATTTCTGTCCTTGTCATATCAAGAATTTATCTTTGAAATATGAAGCGTTCAATTTTCCTTGCACCCTCACACAGACGACCAAATGTCCCCCTCATCACTCAGCCCTGGCAAAAAGCTGAACACCCCTCTGGCCGACATGATGCCCCCAGAGCTTGCCAATGTTGATGTGACCTCGCTCTTTCCAGAATTTAGACATGGACAGGTGAGTTACAGCTTTATACCCTGACTATAAAGTTTCTTTTTCTTTTCTTTATATTTGATTGGCCCTATAGCTCAATGCATTTGACATAAACCAATTTCATATTAATATTTGTTACCTTTGAACTCTTTTTTTTTTTTTTTTTACCAACGGCTCTCAAAAAAATTTTGTTTCTGTGCCAAAGCAGCCCAGAATAATGATTGTTTTATTAACTCAGATTATAACACATGATATGGCACAATGCTTATATTCATATTAATATTTGTTTCCTTTGAACTCTTTTTTTTTTTTTTTTTACCAACGGCTCTCAAAAAAATCTTGTTTCTGTGCCAAAGCAGCCCAGAATAATGATTGTTTTATTAACTCAGATTATAACACATGATATGGCACAATGCTTATAGTCTATTATAGACATAGGTAGCAATACTTTCATGGGACTGTTAGATAACACTTTAACTCTTTAATTACTGCTGGTTGTGGCATCGATTTTTCCTGACTGAGCCAAAAAAGAACTTCAACAAAGAAATTTCTGGAATTTTTCATTCTCTATCCGATTCGCTTATTAACTTCTATATAGATTAACGAAGAAAGAAATATATAGCATTGAAATATGACGTCGACGTGACATCTTTGGTATTTCAGAAAAGTTCTTTGCCTCTTTGTTATGATGACAATGTGTCATCCTTGGTAATTGAAAGTGGGTGATCCTGACGTCGCGTCAACGTCATCGGCATCGGTAACGAAAGGGTTAAAAAAAAAAACTACCATGATTTTTTTTTTTTAAGTACAACCAATTATCTTGCAGTTTTTGTTGACATTTCAATTTGTTGAATGTTTTTGTTTATTTTATTGTTGAAGGTATTGAGATTCTCCAGGCTGTTCAAGCCAGCTCACGTCCCACACGTCTGGAGGAAGAAGCGAAAGAAGAAAGAGGAAGATGACAACAAGAAATCTGGAACAAAGTCTGACCCAAAAAAGAAAGAGGGCAAAGAAGATGCGGAGAAGTGTAAGGCAGAGGCAGCAGAGAAGGAGAAGAGCAAGGTGGAGTTGGCAGAGAAGGAGAACAGTAAACCTGAGGCCACAATCAAGGAGGAGAAGGAAGAAGAGGAGAGAAAGTTTAGGCTGAGTGGGAAAATGGATGACTATAATGAGAAGGGGAACGAGGCAGATGATGAGGAGGAGTTGGAGATAAAGCTGAACCTTGGGAGGATTCCCAAAAAGGAAGAGCTCGCAGATGATGATGAGGTATGTTTTAAAAAAAAATAATTCCAAACTTATTTGTTATGCTAAATAAATTTCTTGGTGACCAATCAAAGGATGCATGTCAATAATTTATCATGGTTAAAAAATGGCCAAAAAAACCTTTCTAAAATGGAGATGCAGAAGAGAATAGCTCAAAGTATCTCAAGAATGTTTTGTCTGAAATTCTTCTGAAATCTGAAAGATGTCTTGGAAGAGCAATAACAGTGTCATGAAATTAAACATGTCACCAAATAAAAAGAGCATGTCGTGAAATATAAGAATGTGTTGTATGTTAAAACTGTATCCGCTTGACCAGGAACTCTTAAAAAGACCCATGGACCGATCGACATCAAGAGGCCATCTTGGCCACAAAGAGAGTGACCAGGATATGGAGATAGCCCCGTGGCGCTATGGACCGGCACAATATTGGTACGACCACCTCGGTGTGGATGAAACTGGGCACGACTTCCATTACGATTTTAAGCTCAAACCAGTAAGTCTCATACAGTTGGTTACACACAAAAGATACTATTATTAAGATATTTTTTATTTACCGGTCTCCCACCACAACCCACTATTACGATATTTAAAGGTAGTATTTTTTAATTAATCCCACTGATGCAAAGTGGCTGGCATTTAAAGCTGACCATTATTGCTCCCTTGTCTCGTCTTATCAATTCTTAAAAAATATTTGTTTAGGAAGAGGCCAGGAAAGCGGAGGAGGAGGAGGCAGCAATGCTGGACAAAAACCTGGACTATGACCGCTACCTGATGGTCACCCAGCAGAGGTGGGAGGACAAAATTATTTGGGACGGAGAGAAGTCAAAACAAAAGGTTCTGGAGGAGCACAAGAAGAACGCAGAGTTTGCTGGCTGGGTGCCCAGCACTAACAATAGGACATTTGCCCAGTGTAAGTAGTAGGACATTTGCCCAGTGTAAGTAGTAGGACATTTGCCCAGTGTAAGTAGTAGGACCTTTGCCCAGTGGAAGTAGTAGGACCTTTGCCCAGTGTAAGTAGTAGGACCTTTGCCCAGTGGAAGTAGTAGGACCTTTGCCCAGTGTAAGTAGTAGGACATTTGCCCAGTGTAAGTAGTAGGACCTTTGCCCAGTGTAAGTAGTAGGACATTTGCCCAGTGTAAGTAGTTGGACATTTGCCCAGTGTAAGTAGTAGGACCTTTGGCCAGTAGAAGTAGTAGGACATTAGCACAGTGGAAGTTGATGTTACATTTGCACAGAGTAAGTTGATGTTACATTTGCACAGAGTAAGTTGATAGTACATTTGCACAGAGTAAGTTGGTAGGACATTTGCACAGTGTAAGTTGATTGGACATTAGCTTAGTGTAAGTTGATTAGACATTAGCTTAGTGTAAGTTGATGGATATAGGTGAGCTTTCCTTCTAACAAATAGTCCCAGGATCATCTGTTGAATGAAACAAAGTTTATTTTTATGTTGTGTATACTATGGAGATATTTGTCAAGTTTGGTGAAGAGAATGAACTCCTTGTCTATAAAATTTCAGTTTGGGCATACCAGTCATGAAACTATGTAACTCTGAGGGACCCCAGTGTTGGAACAGCTATTGCAAAACATTCATTTCTCTAACATAACAAACTTGAAGATATTGGTGGCTAGATTAATGATCTGGGGGAAACAAAAAAATACGAAGTAAAAGGATGCAAAAACCCAAACACATTTTCTAATATAGCCAATTCATATGGGATTTTTTTTACTTCAATATTTGAAAAGCCTATTAGTATTTAATGTCAAAGCAAATCTAATAGCTTTTTACGTTCAGTTATCAAATTGAAAAATGTTAAAAATTGTAGAGCTGAAAATTAAATGGTATGGCAATATTTGGAATGTTTTATTGCCCTAACCCACTCCTTTGCACCAACCAGTATGTAGTTTAATGGCTTTTTTCTGATTGTTGGACTCTTGGGTAGCTTAAATTTGTATTGTGGCAAATTCCAATATTGCATATTAACTGTGTTAATCTTATAGAGGAAAGTTTTGTAGTAAATAAATTATTGCTATTCATTTATTGTTTGTCTGTTTCAGCCCGGTCCCAGTCGGGTCTACTTCAGAGATCCAAATCTATGCTGACCAAACCAGGTGAATATTAACTTAAAATGTGTGCTCGGATTTTCATTGCTATGAAAATATAAACCCGTCTCTTTTTTTTCCTCATTCCCCTTTTTGAATCCCTTGTGAAGCCCTGATCAAGTGTTTGATCCCTATGTTTCAAATAGTTGTTTTTGTCCCAGTGAATTAGGCATCAGAGCTTCCCCTCACCCTCCTTTCACATCCTATTGTCCTTGAAATCCTGCATTGGGTGTTCATGGTTACTATACCAATTCTTTAGTGGCGCTCTGCCAGTCCCAAGCTAGTGAACTCGAGTTCAATCCTTAGAAAATTTTTAAATAAATATAGCTAGTGCTCGACTTACGACCTATGAAACTTACGACCATTCAACTTTACAACCACATCAAAAATTATTATTTATATTAAGAATAAAAGAAATTTATGATATAATTTAACTTGAATATTTTTGTAGCATCACTTCACATTACTGTACACATAGCATACTCAACTTAAGACCAAATCGTGTTACGACTGGTCTGTCAGAACTGACCGTGGTCATAAATCAAGCACTAGCAGTAGTTAATGGCCATCTTGTCATTTACAAATTATTGAAATGTGCTTATCCAGTTAATATTACAAACAAATACATAAGGTGATATCAATTCTACCAAATATTTTAATTAAGTTGGCCTGCACCTATCATGGAGGCTTGTACATTAAACAGGCCTCTACATATCACTGAGGCCAGTACATATCAGGGGTTTCAAACAAGCTGTCTTCTCAGCCTCCAGGTGATTTTTTTTTTAACTACACATCTTTTAATAAGACACAAAACGTAACTATCCTGTATTTAGCTGTGTTCATTCCTTTATTTATTGAGTCCTTACACAAGCTGGCGCTTGAGGCAATGGCCAAGAAAAGACGCTTCTGTCTACCAGAGGCTTCTGTTGGAGCTGTCTGCTGGATGGGGCTACTAATCCTACAGATCTTTTTCTAGAGTTCTGTGGGAAGATGCTAAATGATCATCAGGCAGCCCTTGAAGAAGTCAGAGTTGGACACCAATAATAAAATACTTGTGTATCAGCTAAACCTAATCTCCAGCGAAGGAGATATTTTTAACTTGTTGATGTAATTGGATATTTTTTAAATTCAGTGTCACTGTAAAATCATTCCTTTTTGATTAACTTTCCTCATCAGATTCTGACCAGGGCAGGGACTCTGAGTGGTTCTCCATATTTCCATTGGAGAATGAGGCTCTCATTTACAAGAATTGGGAGGATGACATCATATGGGATGCCCAGGTGAATTCTGACCTCATCACATGCTTGTGTTTTACCAACTGCATTGCTGATACTTTTTGTAACACATATAAGAAATTAAATATACCTGGGTTGTTAATTTTTATAGAAACTTTAATAAAATAAGTTTGATTTTTTCTTTAATGATATAAATAGTGGATATTTTCCCCAAAAATTACAACTCAAATTTAAAGGATATTTTAAAAACAAGAGTTGTATCAGTATAGTAACAAAGATAGTAAATGGCACACAGACAAGTCAGTTGCTGTCAATATTGGACCTCAAAATCAATAAGCTGAGCATTAATTATTGAGATAACTTCAGTAGAAGACAACTTCAGTAGTGCTAATATACAGCATATCATTGCTTGTTAAGTTACATGTCAAAATGTGAAACAGTTCTCATTTTCTATATCTGTTCTTTGCATTTCATACAGAACATGGATTCCATACCAAGTCCAAAGGTTCTCACACTGGATCCTAATGATGAAAACATCATTTTGGAGATTCCAGATGATGTAGACCCTAATCAACAGGTTGAGCAAGGAACAGGCACAAAGAAGGAAAAGGTAATCAACTGGTTCAACATTACCTCTCCTTTTTAAACAGTACCTTTCTCTCTACCATTATACCTCTTTTGTTAAACATCAAATTTATTCTCAATATATATCACTATTGTCAAACATTACCTCCCTTTTTTAAACAAAATACTTCCAGCTGCTATACATCTTGGTTGGAATAATTATTTGAATTTTTTGGTGATATGTTCTTTAAAGACATTTCAATGTTTTTTTTTTTTAAGCCTTAATGTTTATTGCAATTTATAGCAATAAAGTGTACAATTTTTGTTTAGAATTCTCTTGACGCATCAATGAAAGCTGTGATCCATACACTGGGAGCATGGATTTAATAGTTAAAATTGTGTGGTTTTGTGACTCATTCAATCTTGTATTCGTCTTTGTAGGAGAGTCTGAGGAAGAGTAAGATTCTACTGGGTAAGGCAGGAATTCTTAAAGACGGAAATGATGAAAAAGAAGAGGTGAGGCAAATTAAAATTTAAATCTTCATTAAGAATAAATAAAGAGGTTTTTTAAAATCTATATTTCATATGTTTGTAAATATTTTATAAAAATGGAGAAAATTCCCAGTGACGTTGAATTCAGTTCAGTTTATTTTGACAGTGTGCAACTCTTATTCATGCTTTTTAAATTTGTTTCATCCTTGTCTCTTTATTACCATTTTTTTTTACACATGTCAGTGTCAATATTTACTAATTATGCTATGAATTATAAATGTTTAAAAATCTCTTTCTATAAATTATAGCATTTCTTTTCTACACATTTGCTCTAGAGGCGTTGGATTGTTATTTATTCTTCTCCGTTTTGAACAACAACCTTGTCTACCAATTTTTTCCAAAAAAAATTAAGAATATCTAAAATGGTGACTTTAAAATAATAATAATAAAACTGCCATGAAACCCATTGCACGTGTCAGACCAAGAAAATTAATGCCATAATGACACTGTCTGTCTCCCAGGTTCCTAATGCAGTGAATGCCAAAGATTTGTTTAACTTATCCAATGATGAGTACTACAGTCCTAAACAAATGGATAATGCTCTCCGGCCCAACATTGGTAGCTCTGTTATACAGGTGATTTTTTTTAAAGTTTATGTTATCATGCAGCTTTTCCCACTTGACATTAAGTAATGAGTATACATTCAGATGTCAGGTAATGATATTCTTTACCAATCAATTTTTTCAAGGGGTTGTAGATAAGCTTGTGAGCTTTCCCTACTAATTTGAAACCCAACAAATAAGGACAGATACATTTTACCCCTCTTGAGAGGACGGGGCCGATCTGTCTGCCCAATAATACAAGCCTCGACATTGGCTGGATGCTCTTCCTTCCAGCTAATAAGATTACTTGTTGTATTTCCTGCTAATCTCGGCACATAAATGGCAGATTGCGATGTTCTTAGTCATTTTATATCAATTCTTTTTTGTACCAAGTGACCCTCACAATTGCTTAAAAAATACAGGACCTAGACGTATGCCACACACCAAAAACAGCCCCAATGGAATATTTTATGCAGTTTTTCACATTGAATCTCTTTCAAATGTTTGTTAGGACTTATTTTTGCTTCAACACTCAGAAAATTCACAAAAATTCTGCTAGTAAGACATGTTTGTTTTAAGTGTAAAAAAAAAATAATTATGCTAATCGTGAATCTCATTAGCATAAATGTTGAAATATCAGTTTGATTCATAAAAATTGTATTAGTTAATTCAATGTCCTACAATAATGTATGTAGTTTTATGTTTCTAAAGTTATTACTCTATATGTTATATAAAAAAGATTGCAAAGTAAGTGCTGGGCTTGTGAAAAGAGAACCTTCTTCTTGGCACCAATAGTCCAAAAAGGGTTCGTCTCCAAAAAGATTAATCTTCTATAACAAAATGATGCAGGTGACCAAATATTTTGTCTATGACAAAGACAGTGATGTATTTCTTGTTCTATCTGTGAAGCATTCAACACCAGCAGCTGAGCTGAGGCAGCCCTTCTTTCCCACCCACTTGGGCCCCAACAAACTGAGACAGTACCACAGGCCACCCTTGAAGAAGTACTCCCATGGAGCACTGGCCTCATTCGGACCCCATTCTGTTCAGAGCCTCAACAAAGTCATCAAGAGAAAGGCCAAGGTAGCATTTTAACAAGACAAATATTTTTGAGACTTTAAACTCAATAATTGTAACATTATGTGAACATAACTAGATTTGTGTGTATTGTTTCATAAATAAATTAAAGATTGGCTATATCTCCTTAGATTAATATATAATAATTAATGCTGTTGTCTGATATGGAAGGTTTAAACAATTCCAGTTCATTTAAAAATAGACAATGTAAATTAGTTCCATTAATGAATTCCATTAATATAAGTAAGTAGTATCAGGTATGTAGTTGCTTCTAGGTGTCAACAAGCTAGAAGCAACTATATCATGTGTATTTTGTTGTAAAAATAGTACTTTATTTTTTAGATAAATTAAGTGTAAAATGAACTATACTAAGAATTTGGCATGAGCTTAATTTAACTTAATTATTATAAGCTGACTGGTTTTCTACCAACAAAAAGATGGGATTGATGTACTGAAAATTATGCTCTTCAGATCAGAGACCAGGAAAGACAGGCATTCGGAGGTGGTGAGATTTTCTTCATGAGAACTCCACAAGATCTGACGGGAATGGATGGGGAGCTAATTCTCGCAGAGTACTCTGAGGAATTCCCTCCCTTGATGATGCAAGTGGGCATGGCTTCAAAGATCAAGAACTATTATAAAAGGGTAAACTGAAATATATCAGTTTAACTTTTTTTTTCTTCAGCATTGACCTTTGGCATTTGGGGAACACGCTTCTCTCCTTCACTCATAGAGTTTGAAGATGAACTTTGTATTTTTTTTTTTAAAAATTAGTTTGGACACAAGCGGTATTTCTAGTTTCATGAAATAAAATGTTTCTTATTGTTAAATCGAAGTGGCTATTTGTACCCGTGTACCAGAAGTGAGAGGTTGGGATTAAAAAACTATTAAAAAATTGTTGGGTTTTTAAGACAAAAGGAGGTATCAAATGAAAGATAATTGAATCGACTATATGTTTGTAAACTTAATTCTTCAGTTTAACTAAAATAAGCTACCACAAATTACATCCGAATAGCACTGAGTCAAAATGGACCCAGACACGCAGCGCCGCCATTCGCACCCGGGTACCATTAGACTCAAGCTATTCGGATGTCATAAAATTTAAGTTTATTTTAGTTCAACTGAAGAAGTAAGTTTACAAACATATAGTCCATTCAATTATCTTTCATTTGATACCTCATTTTGTCCTACAAACCCAACAACAATATATTAAATCATTTTTTAATCCCAACCTCTCACTTCTGGTACTCGGGAACGAATAGTCGCAGCCTTGTTAAATATCCAATTTAATTAGTCAATTATAAATAGATTTATTAGAAACAGAAATATTAATTTTATTTAACCTAATAATTATTGGGATATGGGATATTCTTGAACTATGTGAAGGTGTGTTAAGGGGGGAACATATCCTTAATGTCTTGTGTAATCAATGCTTTCAACTTGTGTTACCACGAGTCCCTTTGTGAATTTTTGCCTTAATTGCAGTAAGAATCAGTTGAAGCTGTCTAAAGTAATTTCTCATGCAGTACTCCTATATTATCTATCAATCCCCCATTTTCAGAAACCAGGAAAAGATACAAACCCACCGTCTTTCAAGTATGGTGAGCTGGCCTATGCTCACACGTCTCCGTTCATTGGTGCACTCAAGCCTGGCAACTGCCTGCAGGCTCTGGAGAACAACATGTTCCGCTCACCTATATACGAGCATCAGCTGCCTTCAACTGACTTCCTTGTTATTCGGACTAGGCATGGGTATGGATTAAATACACAGTGCTAAATCTACAGCCTTACTTCTGACAGTTCCTAGAGAACTTTAAAAAATATCAGTTATAGCCCGTCAAACGGATGAGGCGGCGAAGCATGAACTTCCCATCTACTAAAGTTACTTGACAAACCATAAACTCATGGAATGTACTTCTTAAGAATCCCAATTAGTGCTACACCCATTACCCCAGAGTACACTGCAGCACACATTTTTTCTTGCCCCTTGACTATATTAATATTCCAATGTCCCACCCCCATTTACACCAAGTATTTACAGAGTCTTTTGACCCGCTCCTGAACTATACGTAAAACACAGAATGCCTATCTAAAGAGGAATATCTAAACTGAAGTTCGAGTTATTATTTAAAGAATATGGTATTTATTTTAAGTTTATAGCCTATACCAAATTTCAAATCTGTGACATAACTGTGCTTGGAGTTAATGATTTTAAAATTTACAACCACACCCGAAACCCAATTCTCCTTGCTTTGAAATTTAAAAAAAAAAAAGAAAATTTTAAAATACATAAATCAAAGTTTTACTTTAAATTATCTATATACCAATATTCACATTTGTAATGTTTTTGTGTTTTGAAATATTGCTATGACCCAATTGACATCACCCAAGTAAAACTATTGAAAATGTACCCAGACTCCAAATAATCTTGTCCTTGAAATGTAAAAACAAAACGGTTACATACATAATTCACAATTTTATTTTAAATTAAAAAATGTAAATATTAAAGATACAAAGGTAAAATTTGGTTTGGTGCATAAACAATTTAAAAAAAGCATTCAAAAGCATTTTTTTTATAAAAGGGGAAAAAACTTGTGATCTGCAGGTTAAATTAAGTTCTAATAAAAATTAATCTTATTTTAGTTTAATCGAGTTCAAGTGAAATTTTGATTTAATATTGTTTGGAGTTATTTCAGCAATTAAAATAAATTTAAATTTGTCATATTGACAACAGAATTAAAAAAACAACAGATTTTTGGGATTTGCCGATAAATGGTCTTAAAAATTAATAACAGTAATGCATAGACGATCTTATCTTCACTCTCACATTGAGATAAAATACTCAAAATAATTATTTAATTGTTATATTAAATGAATATGTTTCTTAAAATTAAACAGCAATCAATGTTATATATATATATTTTTAAAAGGGGAAAAACATGTCCGTTTTATCACAAGTGGTTATAATCAAGGAAAGTTAAATCTTGTGAGTTGCGGGTTTAAATATTAAATAAGTTCTTATTAGATTATTCTAACTTTTGTATCACTGAGTTTTGTGAAAGTTATATATTGATATCGTTCATTTGGGCTAATAACATAAATTTAAATATAATTGTGCAATTTTAACAAAGCAGTAAAAAAACATTAGAGTTTCTGGTTTTCCCTATAAATGTGCTTACAAATTAATAACAGTAATACATAGAAAATTATATCTTAAATTTCACATTCAGATAAGGTACTCAAAATAATTTTTTAATTGTTATATTTAATGTATTGCTAATTAATAATCATAATGGTTACATATAAAAAATTACATATACCGTATTTTCTGGCCTATAAGATGACTTTCTAGACCCAAATTATAGTGCCAAAACTTGGGGGTCGTCTTATACGCCGGGTACAATGGCCGAAATATAGTTTTAATGCCCGCCGAGTGCTCCATACCTTGTACAAGAGGTAGCCAGATCGGTGATGTGTTTTGGTGATTTTAAGTACCAGAAAGTCAACAGTTTTCATTAAAATTACATATTTAAATCAAATCTGATGGTTTTTTTTTATGTTTCTGATTTTTTTAAAAATCGTGTTGTCTCGGAAGGGGGTAGTCTTATATGGCGATTATACACCAAAACCAATATTTTTCCTGGAAAATTAGGGGGTCGTTTGATATGCCCAGTCGTCTTATACGCCGGAAAATGCGGTACATAAATTTAAGTAGATATATTTTATTTTTCTCATATTCAATTGAATTGATTCCATTTCTGTAAAGTAATAAAAAAATTGATATCATTTTTTTAAAGAATTATAGTCATAGTTTATTTTAATTGATTTTTTTTTAGCTTTACATGAATATTATAGCTCCCTCTTATAGATAAAATCTTTTAACCAATTTTCTCATCTGTAACAGCAATGTGTGAACTTACTTGGCAAAACATGCACTTAAGTAAGGCACTTTTTAAGAATCCCAATGATTGCCACACCCTCTTCCCCCAGGGTGCGAAAACGCACACTTTTTTTCATGCCCCTTAACTGTATTAATATTTTGATGTCCCATCACTGAAAAAATTACTACGCAATATTTAAATTGAGACTATTTCAATTTCTTTAAAACAAGAAAATATAACTCACCAAAGGCAGTTGCGATATTTTTAAGAATCTCATTTAACGCATTTGTGTGGAATTTTATTTTGTAGGTTATTGAACTCGCCGTTACAGCATACATTCTTTGATACCTAGAGAATCATATTGATCAATCAAGGAAAAAAAAACTTGCCTAAAACAATTTTGAGCAAATGTGAATAATTCTTATTTTAATGTACACAAATGAGAGCCTGATGTCTTTCTCACAAAAGAAGTATTTCAATTTTGATATTATTTCTATAACAGATACTTCATTCGTGATATTGAAACCATCTACACTGTGGGTCAAGAGGGACCGCTGATGGAAGTTCCCGGTCCAAACTCTAAGCGAGCCAATAATTTTGTCAGAGATTTTCTACAAGTGAGTGTCAGAGGTTAAAAATCTTTATTGCATGGGGCAATATTGTTCTTTGTATGCTCGGCTACCTTAGATTAATTAATCTTATCAAGAGTTGATCATGTGTTGTATAGAACATGGGCTCATGGTCTGTGATATTCTTTTTAACTTTCCATTGCCTTAACCCCCTTAAACATGCATTATTCTTCACAAATATTTTTGCTATGGCAGTAGTATCACATATATTGTACAATATATCTTGGTAGTAACACAATTGAATTGAATGTTTACTTTTATATTGTACAATATACCTTGGTTAGTAACAAAATTGAATGTTTCCTTCCATATTACATCAAATGTAATGATCATTAGATCTTCATAGCAAAATTTCCTGTTACTTAAAGGAATCTACAAAAATAGAACTGATAACCGAGATTTCATAAGGTGAAAGTTGAAAGGTCACAACATTCCCATTCTCTTGGGTGGAAAAAGAAGATGTAAATTGTTGGTTTAAATTCTTAAACTTACATGATTCTGTTTTTTTACTCAGAGTCAAAAGCCTTATTGACTGTCATACAAACATCTTACCTACTTGCTTCCCGCTGAAGGTTTTTCTTTTTCCCAGGTTTTCATTTACCGCCTGTTCTGGAAAAGCAAAGATGAGCCACGCAGAATCAAAATGGAGGACATTAAGAAAGCTTTCTCATCTCATTCTGAGAGCAGCATCAGGAAACGATTGAAACTGTGTGCAGACTTTAAAAGAACAGGTAAATATTTTACTAATGTAAAACATTTCGGCTAAGTTTTGTTTATATTTGTGTTACTTTTTGTTTGTACCGTACTGAAGAAGGCATCATGCTGACACGTTCGTTATTTTGTTGCCTCCTTTTTTTCAGGTTTTCCCCAAACCTTGTTTTACACATCTCCTTCTTTCTAACCTCATGCCCCTAGTCCCCTTATTATCATCTACTAATATAATATTGGTTGAATCTCATTTAAAATTGAATCTAGTGTTTTTGATGTATTTAAACAGTCTTACAGCAGTTTTAGTTGATTGCAACTCCATAGAGAGCGCAATGGTGGCCCATCACCGGATATTAGAACTGTTATATTTTGGCTGTAGTTATTGTATCATTCTACTTTTTAGGGTCTGAGTGCTTAATTTTTGTACTGAATCGTTGCAATTATTTTTGTCATCTTCTCTTATCTGTTTTATAAAGATATCTTATAGAGGCCTGAAAAATATTTAACAGAAATTTTTTGTTAGTTACAATTTTGTATTAGTATTATTAGTGTTAATTCAAAACTGGCGTGTCTGACAGATCAGTAAATGCAAAGAAGGCCGATGTTGTACGATGTTATTAGATTCTTATTTGTTTGCCAGGCATGGACTCCAACTGGTGGGTCCTTAAACCAGACTTTAGACTTCCCACCGAGGAGGAGATTAGGGCCATGGTTTCTCCAGAGCAGTGCTGTGCCTGGTACAGTCTTATCACGGCGGAGCAGAGGCTAAAGGTGTGTTAGATGGGATTGGATACTTTTATAGCCCTTGTGTCCATGCTATTTGGCATGCTGTATCAGAATAGGCACAATAATTTCAATGATCTGAATGCATGTTATGTATGTGTTTCATAAGCTTTGAGTAATGAACTGGTTCTACTATTATTTATTAAAATGCTTATGTGTCGTATCCTTGATGTCATTGCTAGGATGCTGGGTACGGAGAAAAGTCTTTGTTTTCAGTGGAAGAAGAAAACGAAGAGGACACACAGACTAAAATTGACGATGAGGTAATGTGTTAAAAATAACCTTTTTTTTTAATTAGTCAGGTTTTGGGTGAATTAAATTTTCTAGTTGGTCCAGTCAGCAGCATTTCCAGGTAGTTTTATCATTGCAGGCCAGGTAGGGAGTTATGGGTGTTAGTTTTAAAATAGGAAACTTAACATTGCTGACTTAATGTTCTAAATGAAACCATTCTCTGCTGTAACTAGATCAAAGAACATTGCTGACTTGATGTTCTAAATGAAACCATTCTCTACTGTAACTAGATCAAAGAACATTGCTGACTTGATGCTCTAAATGAAACGATTCTCTGCTGTAACTATATCAAAGGACATTGCTGACTTGATGTTCTAAATGAAACCATTCTCTGCTGTAACTAGATCAAAGAACATTGCTGACTTAATGCTCTAAATGAAACCATTCTCTGCTGTAACTATATCAAAGAACATTGCTGACTTGATGTTCTAAATGAAACCATTCTCTGCTGTAACTAGATCAAAGAACATTGCTGACTTAATGTTCTAAATGAAACCATTCTCTGCTGTAGCTAGATCAAAGAACATTGCTGACTTGATGAGCTAAATGAAACCATTCTCTGCTGTAACTAGATCAAAGGACATTGCTGACTTAATGTTCTAAATGAAACCATTCTCTGCTGTAACTAGATCAAAGGACATTGCTGACTTGATGCTCTAAATGAAACGATTCTCTGCTGTAACTAGATCAAAGAACATTGCTGACTTAATGCTCTAAATGAAACCATTCTCTGCTGTAATTAGATCAAAGAACATTGCTGACTTAATGTTCTAAATGAAACCATTCTCTGCTGTAACTATATCAAAGGACATTGCTGACTTGATGTTCTAAATGAAACCATTCTCTGCTGTAACTAGATCAAAGAACATTGCTGACTTAATGCTCTAAATGAAACCATTCTCTGCTGTAACTAGATCAAAGAACATTGCTGACTTGATGCTCTAAATGAAACCATTCTCTGCTGTAACTAGATCAAAGAACATTGCTGACTTAATGCTCTAAATGAAACCATTCTCTGCTGTAATTAGATCAAAGAACATTGCTGACTTGATGTTCTAAATGAAACCATTCTCTGCTGTAACTAGATCAAAGAACATTGCTGACTTAATGCTCTAAATGAAACCATTCTCTGCTGTAACTAGATCAAAGAACATTGCTGACTTAATGCTCTAAATGAAACCATTTTCTGCTGTAATTAGATCAAAGAACATTGCTGACTTAATGCTCTAAATGAAACCATTCTCTACTGTAACTAGATCAAAGTGATATAAATTAATTCTGTCCATCACCAGATCCGGGCCGCACCTTGGAACACGACCAGAGCTTACATTTCAGCCATGAAAGGAAAATGTCTACTTCAGCTGACGGGTCTGGCCGACCCAACGGGATGTGGTGAGGGATTCTCATACATCAAGGTCAGTAGAGTTTTTTTTTTAATAGCTCAACACATTCTCAAGATGTGAACATTTTTTTTCACCCTGGGCACAGGCCAAAGTGCTGCTCTATCAGGATGATTGTTTACTATTTGCTTAAATATTGTATTAGTGTTTCGTTTTTTTTTTAAATATTAGATTGTTGCATCATGGGGCATTTTAGAATACCCATGTAAGCACAAGTAAATATTCTCTAGTTATGGATGCATGTTTCGTGTTAAAGTGAGTTCAACACCATGCTAAATAAAATTCCTGACAACTGCGCTAAATGAGATTCGTAAATTCCGCAGTTACGTTTGATGCTGAATATTTTCTTTTGTTTTACGGGAATTATCTCAAATTAAATATGAGGTAATAAATGTGGATGTAAAGGGGGATGGGACACCTGGATGAAATATTGTTCAAGGGCGTAAAAAAAATGTGCAATGGCATACGTATGAAGGTTAGCACTAATTGGTTAGCACGTATAAAATATGTTGCCTGAATGCATGTTTTGTCAAGTAAGTTTAGTAGATGGGAAGTTCAGGCATTGCGGCCACTGTTTGGTGGGCTGTTTCTAGTAGTTGATGTTGGTCATGTTCAGTTCAGTTCATGCTAAAAGCTGCACATTTAATGCTCTGTTTTAGCTATATGAGTCTTGATACCTAGCAATAAAGTTATTACAAGATGATTCAGTATGGGATAGACTCAACAAGAACAAATATCACTGTGCTTTTACTAGGCTCTGATTAGAGCAAATATCATAGTGCTTTTACTAGGCTCTGAGTAGAGCAAATATCATAGTGCTTTTACTAAGCTCTGAGTAGAGGAAATATCATAGTGCTTTTACTAGGCTCTGAGTAGAGGAAATATCATAGTGCTTTTACTAAGCTCTGAGTAGAGCAAATATCATAGTGCTTTTACTAGGCTCTGAGTAGAGGAAATATCATAGTGCTTTTACTAGGCTCTGAGTAGAGCAAATATCATAGTGCTTTTACTAGGCTCTGAGTAGAGCAAATTTCATAGTGCTTTTAGTAGGCTCTGAGTAGAGCAAATTTCATAGTGCTTCTAGTAGGCTCTGATTAGAGCAAATATCACAGGGCTTTTAGTAGGCTCTGATTAGACTAATTAGAGCAAAAACCACAGGGCTTTTACTAGGCTCTGAGTAGAGCAAATATCATAGTGCTTTTACTAAGCTCTGAGTAGAGGAAATATCATAGTGCTTTTACTAGGCTCTGAGTAGAGCAAATTTCATAGTGCATTTACTAGGCTCTGAGTAGAGCAAATATCATAGTGCTTTTACTAGGTGAGTAGAGCAAATATCATAGTGCTTTTACTAGGCTCTGAGTAGAGCAAATATCATAGTGCTTTTACTAGGTTCTGAGTAGAGCAAAAACCACAGGGCTTTTACTAGGCTCTGAGTAGAGCAAATTTCATAGTGCATTTACTAGGCTCTGAGTAGAGCAAATATAGTGCTTTTACTAGGCTCTGAGTAGAGCAAATTTCATAGTGCTTTTAGTAGGCTCTGAGTAGAGCAAATTTCATAGTGCTTCTAGTAGGCTCTGATTAGAGCAAATATCACAGGGCTTTTAGTAGGCTCTGATTAGACTAATTAGAGCAAATATCACAGGGCTTTTACTAGGCTCTGAATAGAGATTTAACTAAGTATGTTTCAACTTTCCTGAGCCAGGTTATTCAGCTACAAACAGACCCACTTTTAGTCATTCATCCTGAGCTGGGCAAAGTTAGTTGGATGAAAATAATTTCATTAGTGCTGTTTACAGCCACCGTTTCTATCTAAACTTTAATTTATTTTTCATGGCTGTCGGCAGAGGTGTCATGTCAGCTCGATCATTACGATGGGGTCCCGGGCCCAGCGCTGCGGATATCACAATGAAGCTCAAAGTTTGTAGGGACATTAGTTGGGATGCCATCTTGTCCAGTAGCTGCAAGCATTCCCTATGGTTATGTTTCTTTAGATAATCTCGCACTGGTTTTTTGTAGCATAGCATTGTATCCGAGTCTGTAAAGTACCAAAGTTCCGCAAGGTAGAGGGCGATTTGGGGTCTGTTCTCTAGCAGTGCTGCCTGGAGGGGCGAAACAGATTTGCTGGCAGGCCAAAACATCTGCCTGAATCTACGTTCACAAGAGTCGATGTTTGCAGGTCCCACTCCGCTAGAGATGAGTTTCTGGAGAAGGGTGAAACTGCCAAGTGTGATTACCTTGTGGATAATGCTTGGAAGCAGTTGAGAAGAGCTTGCGTTGTTCTCTAGTAAAATTTCAGCGCAAGCGATTGCCCTGGATGTGATTATAGACCCTCCCAAAGTCAATGAAAGTGCTTTCCCTTTCTGTTGCTTGTCTATAGCAGCATCTTGCTGTAGCAGAAGGTTGAGTGCAGTTTCATCCTGATTTCTAGCTGCCAACACGACTGCACTACATCCTTCCTTATTGGGGAGGTTCACATCGATTCCAGCTTGAAGCAGAATCTTCAATGTATCGACACTGTGTTTGTCATGGTTAAGTGCGTGGCCCAAGGCTGTATTCCCATCATCATCCTGCAGGTTGACATCAGCTCCCTTGGCTACCAGAAATTCTGTGATACAACAATTAGGATGTTTGACAGCCTCCATCAAAGGCGTCATTCCTGTTTTACTTTTCAAATTAACAGCCGCATTGCAGCACGTGACCAGCAGTTTCACGCTTTCAAACGCATCATTCCTAGCAGCCAGATGCAGGGCAGATTCACTGTCAATGTTGACATCTTCTATATCGTAGGCTCCCTTTTCTATTATTTTCTGAAGAACCTCCTGGGCACCTTTGACTGATGCAGTGACCAAGAACAGCGTGGCACCATCTGGATTTTGGACACTGTGGTCAGCCCCAGAATTTAAGAACAGCTCTACAATTTTGCCAAGATCTTTGAATGTTTGAGCATGAATGTCATCACAACTGATTTCCTTATTGATATTCTCGAGGTCTGAAATGTATTTTCTAGCCATCGCATTTAGTGGCGCCGTTTTCTCGTAAGGGTGCATCTCCACTGTCTTATTGACGTCTGCTCCCTGTTCCAACAGAAGCTTCACGACATCCGGCTTTAAGGCCATCATGAGCGGAGTCTTCCCGTGAAACACACTGTCAATATCTGCCCCCCAGTCTAGAAACATGTTGATCATGTCTGTGTTGCCCCTAGCTACCGCAGCATGCAACAGGCCAGTTTTACCACCATCTCTTGCTACTTGAGCAGTGAGCACAGGAAAATGTTTGTGCAGAAAGTAAAATGATCTCAGCATGTTTTGTTTGACTGAGATCTGCACTGCTTTTGTGATGTCTACTTCGGCGTTGTGTATCAGAAGCAGGTGAGCACAGTCCATTTTTCCATTCTCAATTGCCATGTCAAATGCTGAATATCCATTCCTTGCCTCCCCTCGAGCGTCGAACCTTCCGTTGACATCGGCGCCGTAGCGCAGAAGTACCTCCATCATATCACGGTGTCCTTTCCCTGCCGCTACAATCAGGGCAGGCATGGGCTGGGTGTATGTGACGCCATCCGGTGGGGCGTTGTGGGCCAACAGAAGCTCCAGCAGTTCTTTGCTCTGTAGTTCTACGGCCACCACCACTGGGGAGTCTTTATTCTTGGCAGGCGTGTCCACGGTGGCCCCTGATTTTAAAAGTTCTGTAATCATATTCAGCTCAGCCACACCTACTTTTTCATCCATCAGTTTCACTGAGCTGAGGACATCGATCAAAACACAGCTGTCTTGTCCATCTCGCTTTTTAAGGTCCGTGCAATGGCAGTCTAGCAATGTCATGAACGACTCTACATCCCTCGCCTCAAACGCTTTACCCAGTGGGGTTTTGCAGTTGGATCTGTCATTCCTTAGGTATGAAATTGCTCTCTCGAGACCAGACGTCTTGGCAAGTTGAGCGGCAGTCGGCGCATATTCTGAGCTCGGTTCATCATAACGCGCACCAGCATCCAGTAACAGGTGAACAGTATCTAGGTCACGGGCCATGACGGCTTTCATCAATGCCGTAAGGCCGCTGCTGTTGGTGTGTTCAATGTTGACACTGTTACACTCAAGTAGAAGTTGAGTCATGTGTAATGATCCAGACTTGCTTATCGATGATATCAAAGGGGTGTCTCCTGTTAGGGGGTTTTCAGCATTGAAATCTACCCTCCTCTTGAGAATCTCCCTGACAATGCATATATGACCTTTTTCTACAGCGGCCAGCAGAGGGGTGTATCCTGCAGAGTTCATGGCATTTATATCAGCTCTTTGCTTTATGAGAAGTTTGGCTATTTGTGTGTGTCCGTTCCTAGCACTTATTATCAAAGGTGTGTCCTTGAATAAATTCCTAGCATTCACTAGAGCACCTCTTCTGATGAGCCATACAGCTATGTCATAGAAATTGTTGAGCACACAGTTGATCAGAGGTGTGTTGCCATCTTTGTCTTTGGTCTCTAGGCAGGCCCCTTGGCGCAGAAGATGTTGAACTTCAAACTTGTGGCCATGTTTGCACTGCGTAAGCAGTCTGGTGTTTAGAATGGCCTGCTCATTGGCTGTGTCATTGAATAGACATCTGTATCTTTTTTTTGGTGGGGATCTGCAGTCATCTGGTGGTGATCTGCAGTCGTTTGGTGGTGATCTGCAGTCGTTTGGTGGTGATCTGCTGTCATCTGGTGGTGATCCGCAGTCATCTGGTGGTGATCCGCAGTCATTTGGTGGTGATCTGCAGTCGGTTGGTGGTGATCTGCAGTCATTTGGTGGTGTCTGTTTGATCTTGGGGCTATCAGAAAAGTATTTAGGGATATCAGCCATTCATCTGGCCCTTGGTGCTGCTTTCCTTGCCTGTAGCATATTATAGACTACCTGTCATCTGAAAAATTCAATAGATTAAGTTCATTTAATGCTCTCAATATTGCTGTCATAGAAGAAAGTTAAATGTCATCTGGACTTTTCCATTGAGTTTATACATCTAAGAAAATGCTCATGTCATTAACTTGTGTGTTGAAATGTATTTAACCAAACATGTGACCACTCTAAACCCATCAAGTAGTAACACAGCACAAGGACAGTCTTAACTTGTTTTGAAAAAAATGTTCAGAGATCTTTACACCTAACACATTAAACTGTTACTTGTTAACATATGTGAGTACAAAAAACTTACCTGTTATGGTCAGTATCCTTCATAAACTTACCATGATGATCCATCTCCTTGATAAACTTACCTGTTAAGGCCAGTCCCCTTTATAAACTTACCTGTAATGGTCAGTCTCTTTGATAAACTTACCTGTGATGGTCATTCTCCGTGATAAACTAACTATCATGGTCAGTCTCCTTGATAAAATTACTCCTAATTGTTAGTCTCCTTGATAAACATAATTGAACTAATTATAAGAGGTTTTGACTGGGATGAAGCTTTGAAGTAGATGAATGAGACAGAGTTAATAAAACAGAGCAGCTTAGGTAGGCTTTAATTATTTGCAGACAAAATAGACATTTATAAGTTTCAGGTAAAGCCTTTATAAGTACAACAGAGTAATATATATATATATATTATATGTGTGTATATATATCCTACCTATTAAGAAAAAGGAAAGGCTCAAGTCCCTCACAAAGATCAGAAGAATTCTGTTTTTTGTTCTCATATTGTTTTATTTACACATATTGTTTGTGTCTTAGTATTCTTGTAACACTCAACTGTGATGGTCAGTCTGGTCGGTCTCCTTGATAAACTTACCACTAATGGTCATTATCTTTGATAAACTTACCTGAGATGGTCAGTATCCTTGATAAGCTTACCTGTAATGGTCAAGCTTCTCGTTCAATGTATCCATGTAATAAGCTCTGTAAATTGAAACTAGCCTCTGTCTTTGTTTATAGTTGACTTATATGTTATGTTCATGTATTTGAATACTCTTGTAAAGTCTTAATTGACACACCATATCAGTTACTGTAAACTAGTCAAGACTAGTCATGTTAGTGTGGTATGGGATATATAATATTGCTGGGTCCAATGAGATTTTCCAGGAAATGAAAGGAACATTACAGTCAGCTGTGTAGATATATAAATATAAACATATATATACATACATACATACCAAAACACACACACGACAAACCTTATCAGTGGCCCCTGGCAACTTTATTGTTCGGTTCCAGTGCACCACTGGCAGACTAAAGGAAGCGCGCTTGGTGAACCATTCTCATGGTTGGTGAACCATTCTCACACTAAGGGAGGAGTTGTTGGTGAACCATTCTCAGACTAAGGGAGGGGAGGTTGGTGAACCATTCTCAGACTAAGGGAGGGGTGGTTGGTGAACCATTTTCAGACTAAGGGAGGGGAGGTTGGTGAACCATTCTCACACTAAGGGAGGGGTTGTTGGTGAACCATTCTCAGACTAAGGGAGGGGAGGTTGGTGAACCATTCTCACCCTAAGGAAGGGGTGCTTGGTGAACCATTCTCAGACTAAGGAAGGGGTGGTTGGTGAACCATTCTCATCCTAAGAAAGGGGAGGTTGGTGAACCATTCTCAGACTAAGGGAGGGGTGGTTGGTGAACCATTCTCTGTCTAAGGGAAGGGAGGTTGGTGAACCATTCTCAGACTAAGGGAGGGGTGGTTGGTGAACCATTCTCAGACTAAGGGAAGGGAGGTTGGTGAACCATTCTCACACTAAGGGAAGGGTGGTTGGTGAACCATTCTCAGACTAAGGGAAGGGTGGTTGGTGAACCATTCTCACCCTAAGGAAGGGTGGTTGGTGAACCATTCTCAGACTAAGGGAAGGATGGTTTGTGAACCATTCTCACACTAAGGGAGGGTATTTTGTGAACCATTCTCAGGCTAAGGGAGGGGAGGTTGGTGAACCATTCTCATACTAAGAGAGGCGTGCTTGGTGAACCATTCTCATAATGGTGGGGTGGGTGTTGGCGGGCCATAATGGTAGGTTGGGTGTTGGCGGGCCATAAGGGTGGGGTGGGTGTTGGAACACCTTTTCTAAGTGGCTTCTTTAAATACCATGTCCCATAATTCCTCCTTTCTTTAATCCTACAGGTAAATATTGATTTTTAAACTTGACACCTGTGTGCCCCAATAGATTCAGTGCATTCCTTTAAGTTACCCAACCCGTAATTCTTCAAGAAGCCGTGATATCGGGAAGTGCCCTTTAAAGTCTTTTCTTATCATATATCACATCCAAAGGTCCTTAAGTGTTAAAACTGCCTGTATTTTTAAAGCTAATCAGGTGACGCGTTCTGCCCTACTTAATCTTCCATCCACTCTACGAGTTGTGTAGAGTTTAAGTAAAGATGTGCTCCAGCATATGACATCAAGCAAAGATGATCTGGTTCTGTGGAGTTTTTAAATAAACAGCTGAAGAGTTCTTAAGGAGTCCACAGCAGATGTTTAATGTACAAGAAATGTTTTACTTTGACAGCAATATTGCATGAAGTCCTACTAGCAATGTTGCATGCCGACCTGCACTAATTGAAACAGGAAACTGCACTAACTGTTGTTGCATGAGCTACATAAGAATCTTGTGAAGTGAAATAAATAGCACTAGGGACCAAACTGGCCCTCATGTCAGTCTATTTAGATGTGTGTGTTTGTTGTTTTGTGGAACCTGTTAAATGGAAAAGATGTACATGTCCCTGAAACCATTTTGTAGCTTCCTACAATTGGCGTAGCTTCCTACACTTGAACTAGCTTCCTAAACTTGGCCTAGCTTCCCACACGTGGCCTAGCTTCCCAAATTTGGCCAAGCTTCCCACACTTGACCTAGCTTCCCACACTTGGCCTAGCTTCCCACACTTGGTATAGCTTCCCACACTTGGCCTAGCTTCACAAACTTTGCCTAACTCCCCAAATTTGGCCAAGCTTCCCACACTTGACCTAGCTTTTTACACTTGGGATAGCTTCCCACACTTGACATAGCTTCCCACACTTGGCCTAGCTTCCTACACATGGCATAGCTTCCCACACTTGACATAGCTTCCTACACTTGGCCTAGATTTATACACTTGGCCTAGCTTCCCACACTTGGCCTAGCTTCCTACTCTTGGCAAAGCTTCCCACACTTGGCCTACCTTCCTACACTTGGCATAGCTTCTCACACTTGACATAGCTTCCCACACTTGGCCTAGCTTTCTACACTTGGCATAGCTTCCTACACTTGCCATAGTTTCCTACACTTGGCCTAGCTTCCTACACTTGGTATAGCTTCCTACACTTGGCATATCTTTCCAGACCTTGGCCTAGCTTCCCACACTTGGCCAAGCTTCTTACACTGGCCTTAGTTTCCTACACTTGACATAGCTTCCTACACTTGGCCTAGCTTCCCACACTTGGCCTAGCTTCCCTACACTTGACATAGCTTCCTACACTTGGCCTAACTCCCCAAATTTGGCCAAGCTTCCCACACTTGACCTAGCTTCCTACACTTGGCATAGCTTCCCACACTTGACATAGCTTCCCACCCTTGGCATAGCTTCCTACACTTGGCATAGCTTCCCACACTTGATATAGCTTCATATACTTGACATAGCTTTCTACACTAGGCATAGCTTCCCACACTTGGCATAGCTTCCCACACTTGGCCTAGCTTCCTACACTTGGCATAGCTTCCCGCACTTAGCCTATATTCCTTCACTTGGCCTAGCTTCATATACTTGACATAGCTTCCTACACTTGGCCTAGATTCCTTTACTTGGCCTAGCTTCCCACACTTGGCCAAGCTTTTTACACTTGGCATAGCTTCCTACACTTGATATAGCTTCATATACTTGACATAGCTTTCTACACTAGGCATAGCTTCCCACACTTGGCATAGCTTCCCACACTTGGCCTAGCTTCCTACACTTGGCATAGCTTCCCGCACTTAGCCTATATTCCTTCACTTGGCCTAGCTTCATATACTTGACTTAGCTTTCTACACTTGGCATAGCTTCCCACACTTGGCATAGCTTCCCACACATGGCCTAGCTTCCTACACTTGGCATAGCTTCCCACACTTAGCCTATATTCCTTCACTTGGCCTAGCTTCCCACACTGGCCAAGCTTCTTACACTGGGCTTAGTTTCCTACACTTGGCCTAGCTTCCTACACTTGACCTAGTTTCCCATTTGTGGCCTAGCTTCCTACACTTGGCTTAGCTTGCTACACTTGGCATGGCTTCCCACACTTTGCATAGCTTCCCACACGTGACATAGCTTCCCACACTTGGCCTAGTGTCCCACACTTGATATATCTTCCCACACTTGGCCTAGCTTCCCATACTTTGCCTAGCTTCCTACACTTGCCCTAGCTTCCCACACTTGAACTAGCTTCCCACACTTGGCCTTTCCTTTACCCATCATTGTTGAGTTAATTTTTTGTAACCTACAGTATTGGGATGTTTACACTGCAGAAATTTCCAACCACAATACAAGCTTTATTGATCTATCTCCTGATTTTTGTTGATCTATTTCTTGAGCTTAGTGGATCTATTTCCTTAGCTTTTTTTATCTATTTCTTAAGCTTAGTTGATCTATTTTTTTTAGCTTTGTTGATCTATTTCTTGAGCTTAATTGATCTATTTCTTGAGCTTATCTGAGCTATTTCTTGATTTTATCTTAAAACCTTTGCCTTGTTTATGATATCCTCTATAAGTAATTCAACCCCCAGGATACATCAATGATTAATAATTACAATTTCAATTAGGAGATAACTGTTTCCATTTAATTGAGAATTTCTTTGTCTGCTTCCTGTACAATACTGCCCTTTTGCCCCTCAGAGTAATACAATAGTGCCCTTGTGTCCCTCAGAGTGATACAATTCTGCCCTTGTGTCCCTCAGAGTGATAGAATACTGACCTTGTGCCCCACATATGTATAGAATACTGACCTTGTGTCCCACATATGTATAGAATACTGACATTGTGCCCCACATACGTATAGAATACTGACCTTGTGCCCCACATTCATGGAATATTTCCCTTGTTCCCATTGTTATATTGTCTACCATTGTTACAGATCCCCAACAAGCCCACCACCAAAGAAGAAGCCAAGGAGACCCCTGTCAAGAAGACTGTGACAGGCACAGATGCTGATCTCAGAAGGCTCAATCTGCAGGATGCCAAACAGCTGCTGCGCAAATTTGGTGTGCATGAATCAGAGGTAAGTTAAGATCTGAGAATTGGAGTCTGAGGTAGGGTAATACTTGTTAGTAAGGATCTGAGGTGGGTAAAACTGGATAGTACGGATCTGAGGTGGGGTAAGACTTGGTAGTATGGGTCTGAGTTAAGTTAAGACTTGATAGCCTGAGGTAGGGTATGACTTAATAGTATGATTCTGAGGTAGGATAAGACTTGATAGTATGATTCTGAGGTAGGATAAGACTTGATAGTATGATTCTGAGGTAGGATAAGACTTGATAGTATGATTCTGAGGTAGGATAAGACAGGAAAGTTTGGTGTGCAGACTTTTCTGTGAGTGCTAATTATGAGCAGGGTAATTTATTTTAAAACTTGGTTTGGATAAGTTGTTCCTGGAAATGAACTTACAGAACTTTAACTGTATGGAAAAAGTAAAATTAGTTTAAATTTCAAGGTAATTTTTTTTTGGTTCTGATTTTGAGTAAATTTGCTGATAGAGAGGGTGTACATGACTGGTACAAAATCTCTTATTATGAGGCTTGTGTACGAAATATATTAGCTAAGCAATAATACACATTTATATTCATTGTATATGCCTGGAAGGCATCTTTACACTGACAATGTGTAACTTCTGCCTGGCCCAACACATTGAGTTTAGATTTTTTTTTTTTAATACGCACATTAAATTTGTACTTCAAGAAAAAAAAAATAATAATTTCATCGAACAGATCAAGAAACTTTCAAGATGGGAGGTCATTGATGTTGTCAGGACTATGTCCACTGAGCAGGCCAAGCAAGGTCAAGATACCACTGGTAGGTCCTTCCTTTGAACATGGACAGCATGCACCTGGTTTCAAACTTTTTTTTACATATAACTTGTACTGGCAGTGAAAAAAGTAGGTTATTTGACATAATGAGTTGTACTGGCAGTGAAAAAAGTAGGTTATTTGACATAATGAGTTGTACTGGCAGTGAAAAAAGTAGGTTATTTGACATAATGAGTTGTACTAGCAGTGAAATTAAAAAGTATTTCATTTAACAGTTGTACTAGTAAAGAACGATTGTGAAGGATAATGACATTATATGTAGTACATGTTGTGAAACATTGAGAATGTCATGAGACATTATGTGTAGTACATGTTGTGAAACATTGAGAATGTCATTAGGCATTATGTATAGTACATGTTGTGAAACATTGAGAATGTCATTAGGCATTATGCATTACGTGTAGTACATGTTACGAATCATTGAGAATGTCATTAGGCATTATGTGTAGTACATGTTGTGAAACATTGAGAATGTCATTAGACATTATGTGTAGTCATGTAACGAAACATTGAGAATGTCATTAGACATTATGTGTCATACATGTTGTGAAACATTGAAAATGTCATTAGGCATTATGTGTAATACATGTTACGAAACATTGAGAATGTCATTAGGCATTATGTGTAATACATGTTACGAAACATTGAGAATGTAATTAGACATTATGCATTACGTGTAGTACATGTTACGAAACATTGAGAATGTCATTAGGCATTATGTGTAATACATGTTACAAAACATTGAGAATGTCATTAGACATTATGCATTACGTGTAGTACATGTTACGAAACATTGAGAAAGTTATTAGGCATTATGTGTAATACATGTTACGAAACATTGAGAATGTCATTAGACATTATGCATTATGTGTAGTACATGTTACGAAACATTGAGAATGTCATTAGGCATTATGTGTAGTACATGTTACGAAGCATTGACAATGTCATTAGACATTATGTGTAGTACATGTTGTGAAACACTGAGTATGTCTTTAGGCATTATGTGTTGTACATGTTACGAAACATTGAGTATGTCTTTAGGCATTATGTGTTGTACATGTTACGAAACATTGAGAATGTCATTAGACATTATGTGTAGTACATGTTGTGAAACATTGAGAATGTCATTAGACATTATGTGTAGTACATGTTATGAAACACTGAGTATGTCTTTAGGCATTATGTGTTGTACATGTTACGAAACATTGAGAATGTCATTAGACATTATGTGTAGTACATGTTATGAAACATTGAGAATGTCATTAGACATAATGTGTAGTACATGTTGTGAAACATTGAGAATGTCATTAGACATTATGTGTAGTACATGTTATGAAACACTGAGTATGTCTTTAGGCATTATGTGTAGTAAATGTTATGGAACATTGAGAATGTCATTAGACACTCTGTTTTGTCTCTGTAATGAAGGATATTTGATAAGCTCATAAATAACATCCACAAATTGAGTGTCATTAGACATTATGAATTGTCCCGGTAATGTTTGAGAAGCTCAGAAATAACATCCACAAAGAATGGTAAACCTGGGCATAAACCCAATGGAACTAAAATGATTGACACATGTAACATTGTTGGATCACTTTGTCTTCAGGTTGGGTAAAGTTTGCTCGTGGAAACCGTTACTCTGCTGCCGAGCACATGGAAAGGTACAAGGAGGAGTGCCAAAGAATATTTGATCTGCAGAATAGGCAAGTTCCTTTCGCCTCATTTGTCAACATCTCACAAAAGAAATGTGCTCAAGGGTCGATTGATTTTTTTTATCATTGAACAATTGACTTAGGAAGTTGTCAGTTGCCACCTGCCCCTCTGGTGTCAACGTCTGAGATAAAATTATACTTCATTTAAGGGGGTCTCACAGGCTGCAAAGTAATTTCTTTAATTACCAGAATTAATTCACATTTTTATGTTTGTTGTACTCACTTGGGTTTCAATAGCTGAAAAATCGAAAGAAATTTTTAAAAAAATAATTTTTTGTTAAATTATTTTATGATTATGTAATATTTTAATAATATTTTAGAATCAACATAACTAACAAACAATTGAAGTTACAATGATGAAACTTGGTACAGATTATCTTTATGATGTTATTGATGACTCCAAGAGAGCATTTTCATGAAAAAAAAAAACTTTTTAAAATGCCTTTGATCCTTGGGGGTCATAAAAAATAATGGCATAATTACATCGAGTTTAATTTTATTATATTTTTTAAAAATCAACCAGACAAGATACAATAAAATGCTCTCATGAACACATAGTAAATAGTATTAGTTACATCTGTGCGAAATTTCAACTCTTAATCTCTAAAGACAAAAAAACGACACCGTGCACGGTGTTGCACAAATACAAAAACAAAGAATGGAGAAAAACAATGAAAACAACTTTGAATCAAGATATCATTCAAATACTTTATTATAAGCTTTTCAAACCTTCTATTTTAATCATAGCAAACCTATGTTAAAAAATGAAGTTGCAAATGAGTGCAAAATGCAAACATTTACATTTTTTACTGATTATTATACAGAATGATATCCAAAAAAAAAAAAATCTAGCCTTATATTGGTTATACCCAGTGTATGTATAAATATATATATATATATTATATTTTTAACTATGCCTTTTTTTATCAGTTTGTAAAACAAAGAAAGAATATTGTAAATTATCTGGATTTTGGAAACCCTGAACATTTTAACAAATTTATTTCTTACCAGCAATTTGATCTATCAAATGCAATACCTAGTGATTTTAAAATGTCTGTTTCTCCATTGATCAATGCTGTATTGAAAGAGCATGTGATAACTTCTATTTATAACTTTTTATGGACGATCCATTTTAACCAGTTTCTGTGACCTTTAAATCCACACAGGGTGTTGGCTTCCACAGAAACCTTATCAACAGATGAGGAGTCGACATCCGGTGAAGACTCCGACTTCGAAGAGATGGGCAAAAACATTGAGAGCATGTTGTCCAACAAGAAAACCAGCACGCAGGTACCAGAATGTGGATTGCTGTCTTATGTTGTGTGGTACTAGAATGTGGATTGCTGTCTTATGTTGTGTGGTACTAGAATGTGGATTGTTGTCTTATGTTGTGTGGTACTAGAATGTGGATTGTTGTCGCATGTTGTGTGGTACTAGAATGGGGATTGCTGTCTTATGTTGTGTGGTACTAGAATGTGGATTGTTGTCTTATGTTGTGTGGTACTAGAATGTGGATTGCTGTCTTATGTTGTGTGGTACTAGAATGTGGATTGTTATCTTATGTTGTGTGGTACTAGAATGTGGATATTTGTCTTATGTTGTGTGGTACTAGAATGTGGATTATTGTCTTATGTTGTGTGGTACTAGAATGTGGATTGTTGTCTTACGTTGTGTGGTACTAGAATGTGGATTGTTCTCTTACGTTGTGTAGTACCGGAATGTGTATTGTTGTCTTATGTTGTGTGGTACTAGAATGTGGGTTGTTGTCTTATGTTGTGTGGTACTAGAATGTGGATTGTTGTCTTACGTTGTGTGGTACTAGAATGTGGATTGTTCTCTTACGTTGTGTAGTACCGGAATGTGTATTGTTGTCTTATGTTGTGTGGTACTAGAATGTGTGTTGTTGACTTATGTTGTGTGGTACTAGAATGTGGATTGTTCTCTTACGTTGTGTAGTACCGGAATGTGTATTGTTGTCTTATGTTGTGTGGTACTAGAATGTGGATTGTTGTCGCATGTTGTGTGGTACTAGAATGGGGATTGCTGTCTTATGTTGTGTGGTACTATAATGTGGATTGTTGTCTTATGTTGTGTGGTACTAGAATGTGGATTGCTGTCTTATGTTGTGTGGTACTAGAATGTGGATTGTTATCTTATGTTGTGTGGTACTAGAATGTGGATATTTGTCTTATGTTGTGTGGTACTAGAATGTGGATTGTTGTCTTATGTTGTGTGGTACTAGAATGTGGATTGTTGTCTTATGTTGTGTGGTACCAGAATGTGGATTGCTGTCTTATGTTGTGTGGTACTAGAATGTGGATTGTTGTCTTATGTTGTGTGGTACTAGAATGTGGATTGTTGTCTTACGTTGTGTGGTACTAGAATGTGGATTGTTCTCTTACGTTGTGTAGTACCGGAATGTGTATTGTTGTCTTATGTTGTGTGGTACTAGAATGTGGGTTGTTGACTTATGTTGTGTGGTACTAGAATGTGGATTGTTGTCTTATGTTGTGTGGTACCAGAATGTGGATTGCTGTCTTATGTTGTGTGGTACTAGAATGTGGATTGTTGACTTATGTTGTGTGGTACTAGAATGTGGATATTTGTCTTATGTTGTGTGGTACCAGAATGTGGATTGCTGTCTTATGTTGTGTGGTACTAGAATGTGGATTGTTGACTTATGTTGTGTGGTACTAGAATGTGGATTGTTGTCTTATGTTGTGTGGTACTAGAATGTGGATATTTATCTTATGTTGTGTGGTACCAGAATGTGGATTGCTGTCTTATGTTGTGTGGTACTAGAATGTGGATTGTTGACTTATGTTGTGTGGTACTAGAATGTGGATTGTTGTCTTATGTTGTGTGGTACCAGAATGTGGATTTTTGTCTTATGTTGTGTGGTACTAGAATGTGGATTGTTGTCTTATGTTGTGTGGTACCAGAATGTGGATTGCTGTCTTATGTTGTGTGGTACTAGAATGTGGATATTTGTCTTATGTTGTGTGGTACCAGAATGTGGATATTTGTCTTATGTTGTGTGGTACTAGAATGTGGATTGTTGACTTATGTTGTGTGGTACTAGAATGTGGATTGTTGACTTATGTTGTGTGGTACTAGAATGTGGATTGCAGTCTTATGTTGTGTGGTACTAGAATGTGGATATTTGTCTTATGTTGTGTGGTACCAGAATGTGGATTGCTGTCTGATGTTGTGCTGTAATTACACAAGGGCAAACACAAGTCTTGGTTTTAAAAATTAGTTCTTCTAATATAAATGTTTTACAATAAACCTTGATTGTTACTTCATAGTTCGTTCCCCTTTGACCTCACTTTAACCATTGATAACTATAGCTTGTTGTTACTTCATAGTTCCCCTTTGACTACACTTTAACCATTGATAACTACAGCTTGCTGTTACTTCATAGTTCCCCTTTGACTACGCTTTAACCATTGATAACTTCAGCTTGTTGTTACTTCATAGTTCCCCTTTCACTACACTTTAACCATTGATAACTACAGCTTGTTGTTACTTCATAGTTCCCCTTTCACTACACTTTAACCATTGATAACTACAGCTTGTTGTTACTTCATAGTTCCCCTTTGACTACACTTTAACCATTGATAACTACAGCTTGTTGTTACTTCATAGTTTCCATTTGACTACACTTTAACCATTGATAACTACAGCTTGTTGTTACTTCATAGTTCCCATTTGACTACACTTTAACCATTGATAACTACAGCTTGTTGTTACTTCATAGTTTCCATTTGACTACACTTCAACCATTGATAACTACAGCATGTTAAAATCTGCACAGTGTTTTAAACCTGTTTATAAATGTTTAGTTCAATCAGTACAAGCTCCAAGAATGGAAAATGATATAGATGTACAAGGTTCAGTTCGAAAGATCACACATATATATTTGAAAGCTTGCATTCAATTTGGTCAGCCAAGAAATATATCTAATACAGTAAAGCTTACTGTTATTCTAGAAATGTCTTTCAAACTGCAAGTTATGCCAGTAAGAATTGTTGAATGACAAATAAAGCATTAAAACTAAATCAAATGGGAGATACAGCAACAAGCTTTCAGCTACTGAGATCTCATAAGGAAGAAGGGATTTCTTAAGAAGCATCACACCACAGAGTCTGGCAATGGCAGTTGTTTTGTGCCATTCTGAGCTAAACCCATGCACTGGATAGATGCCACCAGAGGGCCCAGAAGACTTAAAGGAAGCCATTTCTAATGAACTTGTAGAAATGCTTGAGGTGACTTACAGAAACATGTGGCAACATTTGTGTCCAGTGCACCATACCTATGTTGGAGAATTGATGGATATTTAATGTTAGCTAAATCATTTGTGTTTCTGCCCCGGTTAGCTTTGACTGTGATGTTTAAATTATGTCATGCACCTGTATGCTATGACTGTGATGTTTAAATTATGTCATGCACTTGTATGCTATGACTGTGATGTTTAAATTATGTCATGCACCTGTATGCTATGACTGTGATGTTTAAATTATGTCATGCACCTGTATGCTTTGACTGTGATGTTTAAATTATGTCATGCACCTGTATGCTATGACTGTGATGTTTAAATTATGTCATGCACCTGTATGCTTTGACTGTGATGTTTAAATTATGTCATGCACCTGTATGCTATGACTGTGATGTTTAAATTATGTCATGCACCTATATGCTTTGACTGTGATGTTTAAATTATGTCATGCACCTGTATGCTATGACTGTGATGTTTAAATTATGTCATGCACCTGTATGCTATGACTGTGATGTTTAAATTATGTCATACACCTGTATGCTTTGACTGTGATGTTTAAGTTATGTCATGCACCTGTATGCTATGACTTTGATGTTTGCTTACCATGTTTTGTTCTCCCAGCTGTCAAGAGAAAAGGAAGAGGCTGAGAGAAGGGAGTTGCAGAGGATGCTGAAGGGAGAACTTGATAACAAAGACAAGAAAAAGTCTGGGGGCAACATGAGTAAAGAGGAGGAGCTCATGGTGAGACAAATTTCTAGAATTAATCTCTCCCGGCCCCCATGTACACTATATTATTATCTGGCTTCACATCTATTAATATCCACTGAGGTTAGCCAATAGTAATATGTTTAGACCTATTGCCCATAGAAATGGGTGTAGAACAAAAGCATGAAAACTAATCTTATAAATATTTACCAAGACTTTCTTCAGAATCGCAAAGGCTGAAATCAATAATTTACATAAAAGAAAGAAACGCTATCATGGTGAGCAAAAAATATGCATTGTCTCAAGAAAATATGTTTGAGAAATTCAGTGGTTTGTGCTTCAATCACCTTACTTATCCCTCATGAAGCACCACAGAGGCAGAAAGTTGAAGATTGTAAGAACCTTCCACGATGACACCGGTCGTCAGTACCAGCGGTCAGAAATGGTCACCAATCCTGTAGTCATTGATGCCTACCTGAGAATAAGACAAACCAGGGACCCTAACTTCATGTAAGACATTTTAGCTTCTTGTCATGAACAATAACACACAACCTCATCGAGCATCTATTGTAAGACATTTTAGCTTCTTGTCATGAACAATAACACACAACCGCATCGAGCATCTATTGTAAGACATTTTAGCTTCTTGTCATGAACAATAACACACAACCGCATCGAGCATCTATTGTAAGACATTTTAGCTTCTTGTCATGAACAATAACACACAACCTCATCGAGCATCTATTGTAAGACATTTTAGCTTCTTGTCATGAACAATAACACACAACCTCATCGAGCATCTATTGTTCCAGTATTTTAATATCACATGCACTGTTTTTAACATCTGTTTTTGTATTATTGTATAATTACACGTACTGTCACAGCACAATGTTTTCACCTCTACGGTTGTAACCCTTGCAGTAAACAGTTTGCTGCCATGGACGACCAACAGAAGGAGGAGATGAGGAAAGAGAGGAGAAGACTCCAGGAACAGCTGAGGAGGATCAAGAGGAACCAGGAGAAGCCAACGTCCACTCCCCCTCCCAAGAAGAAGCCCAAAAAAGAGAAGGAGCAGCTGATTAAGGCATCCAAGGTGAGGCGGGATTAAGCTTCTTATTCTTATTTATTTGGAATAAATGTATCCCTATGAAATGATTTGGCCAGATACAGGGTGTTCAAATGTTGGGATTATGATTTTAAGACGTGTTTAGTTAAAAGTATGATTGTATATGTGGCTCATTTACATTTGTGGTGGAGTGGTGTATTTAAAGAGAGATCTAAATGTAGCTTATGTGAAGAGGGATGTCTTACTGTTGGTGTAAAGAGGGATATGTCATTGTTGGTGTAAAGAGGGATATGTTATTGTTGGTGTAAAGAGGGATATGTTATTGTTGGTGTAAAGAGGAATATGTTACTGTTGGTGTCTAGAGAGATATGTTATTGTTGGTGAAAAGAGGGATATTTTACTGTTGGTGTCTAGTGAGATATGTTATTGTTGGTGTAAAGAGGGATATGTTACTGTTGCTGTAAAGAGGGATATGTTGTTTTCTGGAGTACTTAAGATCTGTTCAATATTTTGTTTATGTCTGCTGTGAAGAGATATTTCTAGACTGTTGTTAACTGTACCCTTAGATGAAGTGTGGAGCCTGTGGACAGATAGGCCACATGAGAACCAATAAGGAGTGCCCCATGTACAACAGCAGGTCAGGGGGTGCGGGCTCCCTCCAGGTGGCTATGACAGAGGAGCAGGAAGAGGAGGAGGAGAAGAACGTCCCAGTCGACCAGGATCTGATCAACGTGGAGGGCACCAAGATCATCATGTCCAAGACACTCCTAGAACAGTAGGTCTTTTTGGTCATTCCTTCTTTCCTACAGCAGTAATTCTTGTTGGTCATTTCTTATTTCCTAGAGCAGTAACTCTTTTTGGTCATTCCTTTTTTTTTAAAGCAGTAAGTCTTGTTGGTCATTCCTTCTATCCTAGAGCAGTAAGACTTGTTTGTCATATTTCAGTCCTTGCTCTTTCAATGCGGAACAACGCACACTGCGTTCATCCGCCATTTTCAATAGCACGGACCATGTTTGTTTTTTTGCTATTTCTCGGTTAAACTTTTTAAGAGCTATTTTTAAATAAGACTTTTATATAGAAGAGTGGTACTTCATTGTTTATAAGAGAAATCAGGGTTTATTTGTTGTCATTTGAAGCATAATTTTAATGATTTTCTTCGCTTTTTTTTCTTCTGTTGCTATGGCTGCTCTAGCCCTAGCAGTTGAGTAAGTTTCCTAGACGATTAACAGCAGACCTGTTTACTCTAACGAATTTGGCATACAATGTACGATTTTGAGGTGTATACATTATATATACTTTATGTTTATTTTGTTACTTTAAAGATATGTATTTAACGATTTTGTGATGATATTGTACGATTTTAAGAGTTTGAGGGTAAACAGGTCTGTAACAGCTCAAAAAGCTTTGGAATTGTTTTATACTATTTCTTTTGATAGTGAAGATGATTTATATTTAGATCCATTGCAGGATTCTGATAGTAGAATTTTTATAGGATTTGAGTTATAGAAGTGTAGATGAGGTATACGTACATCATAGGGTTTGGGGAAAAAATGGTTCAGCATAAAATGTTTTCCAAATTTATGGTTCTTTTCTGTAACTTATTTTATTTAAACTGAAGAAATAAGTTTACAAACATATAGTCCTTTCAATTACCTTTCATTTGACACCAAGTTTAGTCTTATAAACTAAAGAATAATATTTTAAATATTTTTTAATAAACCTAACCTCTCTCTCTTTTTCGCTCTATGAAAAAAATTTACATTTTTTCTATTAAAAAATTCTGCAGCCAAAGAGCTAGATCAGTAAGTCTTGTTGGTCATTACTTCTGTCATAGATCAGTAAGTCTTGTTGGTCATTACTTCTGTCATAGATCAGTAAGTCTTGTTGGTCATTACTTCTGTCCTAGAGCAGTAAGTCTTGTTGGTCATTACTTCTGTCCAAGAGCAGTAAGTCTTGTTGGTCATTACTTCTGTCATAGATCAGTAAGTCTTGTTGGTCATTACTTCTGTCCAAGAGCAGTAAGTCTTGTTGGTCATTACTTCTGTCCTAGAGCAGTAAGTCTTGTTGGTCATTACTTCTGTCCTAGATCAGTAAGTCTTGTTGGTCATTACTTCTGTCCTAGAGCAGTAAGTCTTGTTGGTCATTACTTCTGTCCTAGATCAGTCAGTCTTGTTGGTCATTACTTCTGTCCTAGATCAGTAAGTCTTGTTGGTCATTACTTCTGTCCTAGATCAGTAAGTCTTGTTGGTCATTACTTCTGTCCTAGATCAGTAAGTCTTGTTGGTCATTACTTCTGTCCTAGAGCAGTAAGTCTTGTTGGTCATTACTTCTGTCCTAGATCAGTAAGTCTTGTTGGTCATTACTTCTGTCCTAGAGCAGTAAGTCTTGTTGGTCATTACTTCTGTCCTAGATCAGTAAGTCTTGTTGGTCATTACTTCTGTCCTAATTCAGTAATTCTTGTTGGTAATTACTTCTGTCCTAGATCAGTAAGTCTTGTTGGTCATTACTTCTGTCCAAGAGCAGTAAGACTTGTTGGTCATTCCTTCTGTCCTAGAGCAGTAAGACTTGTTGTTATTCACCTGTTCTGTTTTATACATAGCTAAATTATTTTGTGCTTTGTTTAACTATTAATTTTGTCATATCATTAAGTGAGTTAGATACCAGTGACTTGTTTTTAAACAATCAAAGGTATCTGCCTGATCCAGGTATTTTGTATTCAATGTTAATACTTAATTTCCAAATTAAAATTACTTGATTTTTTAAACAAAAGCAAAATCATTAATGCATCTGTAAAAAAATGTACAACTCAATTGATGAAAACGAGATTGAAGATGTTGCTTTGACTTGACTAACGTAGCATGCACCAATTTCAGTGCTGAGAGTATCCGACGTAAATCTTTGGTGTTGAAAGTTCCAAAGCAGGCAGTGGAAACCAAGAAGAAGAGAAGGGTCAGCAACATAGTGCATTGTGACTACCTCAAGGTAATTAACTCATTAGCTCAAGGGAGATAACTTAGTACTCCCAGGTAGCAGAGGCACAGGCAAACTAAAGCACTCTCCAATTGCTAATACTTATAGTACATAAAACTAAAATAAAAGTCCCCAAAGCAGCTGTGCTCTCTACGCTACCCCACACGCTACCCCACACGCTACCCCACACGTGTCAAACAAAAACTTACCAACATTAAGTTTTATGGCCTCACTAAAACCTGCACACTTGGTAAGATTTGGCAAAGTGGTGAGCTTCGTGGCGTTCCTCTTTGCACAAATGCTCCAATCAAAATGAACCCAACAAAACAGCAGTTACTGAGCAAAAAGACAAGCCAGCAAAGCCCAGGTTAACTCTGCACCTGGAGATATCCCATCCATTCCTTGCACATAAAGCACAAGAACATTTTGTGACAGAATCAGTCTCATCAGCCATCTATGCACCCATAGGGAGAATCAACCAGCATGAATCTTGATTGATTTCAATGGAAAAACTAACACTTATATGTACAGCATCCATATGTACTACAAATTTTGTTCAAGCAGTTAAGCTCCCTGTATGAACTGTTTGAAACTTGATTTAACTGTTCATCATCACAGTTACTTACATACAACTAGAGCTATAGTCATATTTGCTAGTCCTTAGTATATTGTTTCTTTCAATTATTCATTGGATGTCTTAAGTACAATATATGATAGTCATATTTGCTAGTGCTAGTTATATTATATGATAGTCATATTTGCTAGTCTTAAGTATATTATATGATAGTTTGCCTGTGAAACGTGGACGGTCTACAAACGCCATGCAAGAATGCTGAACTACTATTATATGATAGTCATGTTTTCTTGTCGTATGTATATTATTTTTCTTTCAATTATTGATTTGAATTTATTTCTTTGTACAAGCTATATTTATTCCTTTTAAAAAAATATTTTCCATCAGAAACCAAAACAGTCTTCCAACCGTAGACGTACTGACCCTCTTGTCACTCTCTCATCTATATTCGAGACTATTCTGAATGAATTACGAAGCATGCCTGATGTATGTATTTAATTCATGAAAATATTTTTTATAATTAATTTTAGTATAAATTAAATATTTGTAAAAAAAGGAAAAAATTAAGCTAATTTGAAAGATTTTAAAAACATTTGTAATTAATTTTTTAAAATTTTTTATTTAGATAAATAATACAATTAAAAGTATTGTGCTGATAATAGCAATTTAAAATTGTGTAATTAATTGTATAGAGAATCATGAGCTAAAAATCTCCACACTTAAAAAAAACCCACCTTTATTAATCCTCATCACAAAATTATTCTACCAACCACACTTTGAATATTAGGCACTACTATTTTTGTGTGTCCTTTCATTTCATTCTAATGTATTGGATAATGTTGCTTTAAACAAAATTTCAATTTTCAGATTCAGCTGTTTCTGTTTCCTGTCAACCAGAAGGAAGTCCCCGACTACTACCGTATCATCAAACGTCCAATGGACATGCAAACCATGCGTGAGGTTAGGGAAACTTGGTTTCTGTTTACTTCTCACTTAGGCTGGACATCAAAAGTTCATCAATGCTAAATTAAAAGTAAATTGTACTCGGACAATCACTTTGAGAATATTTTTAACTTGAATAATATTATGACTTTAAATTTTGGCAAAAATACATAAATTGTTATTAGTAAGATGCAAGATTTAAATATTTAGTTTCTCTTTGCAGAATGTGCGTCAGAAAAGGTACAGATCAAGAGAAGACTTTCTGACTGATCTCAATCAAATCATAGAGAACAGCAAACTATACAATGGTGAGTGGGTTCAGGTGACATTAGTTACTGGGGGTTGAATTATAGTTATATGGAATGTTTTATCTTATTTTTGTATGTGAAACTATTATCATCTATGGCCCCACTAGAGGATCCAGAAAATGTAGCAATGTCCTCATAAGTGGTCAATTCAGGGGAGACACATCTGGTTGGTTTTAGAATTTGATGAGGGCATGATTCATCTATTAAGATACATTATATTTTTAACCAATTTTTTTTTCTTTCATTGATATAAATGAATGATGTGATAAATTAAACATTTCTTAAAATGAGATTAATGAGTAAATGAATGAAAAAGGACAAAGGAACTTGTGTCTGAGTTGTCACTATCCAGACCCCAGAAACTCTGCCCATTGAACCAGCATGTGTCATCATCATTGATATCATGCACGAGTTAGAGGTAAACATTTATGTAATAATTTTTTATTTTTTTTTACATTTTAAGGTGGCCAGCATTTGTTGACCTTAAATGCCCAGTCCATGTTGACCCTTTGTTTCCAGAGGTTTGCTGAGGTGAGACACTTGAATACACATGGCCTTAATTACTGGAATGTGTTTTGTTATGATCACTAGAAGCTTCCTTCAGCAAAAACAATTTGGAATAAATTTTGAGCAAACTCTTAACAAAATTGAAATATTTGGCATTGGACTGGGGAACCCACAGTGAGATGATAAGTTACTATCTGTAAATCCATATGAGTAGAAAACTTCTTAATTATTATGAAGTATTGGACCATCAAAATACAATCTTAATATTTTTTTTAGTTTTGACAAAATGCCTTGTCATATTTCTGTCATGACAAAAAAAATTATTTTCTGATGCAAGTATCTTATATGTGGTTGGTGAGAGCATATTATGTCTTCTTAAGTTCGTGTACATAGATAATTTTATGGGACCTAAATGTCTCATACAAAATTTCTAAATTTTAAAATTTTAAGTTTGTTATTGTTTTTAATAATAAACTTCATTGCTAATCCACTCTTGTTTTAATATAATGCTGAAATAAGTAAAATATATTAAAAAATGATGTTGACATTTTAATATGGTTTCTCTTTTGTACTTGTGCTTATTTTTCATTTTTGTTTTAATGTTTCAGAAAGAGCAAAAATTGATGAGGCTGGAGAAGGCCATCAATCCACTGCTGGATGACAACGACCAGGTGGCGCTGTCCTACATCTTTGAGAAAATCATCCACTCCATGAAGGCTTTGGAGACTGTGAGTTTTACAGAAATCTTAACTTTTGTTGCAATAATTTCATATAGATGAATTTTAAACTTGTCAAACTCACATGCTATAAGTTAATTTAGAAGACATTTATTTAAACTTATCAAACTTATATGCAATAATTTCATTTAGAAGACATTTAAACTTGTCAAACTTACATGCAATATGTTCATATAGGAGACGCTTAAAGTTACCAAAATGACTTGCAAAACATTATTTCTTTTTTTCTTTCAACAAATATTATAATATAATTATTGTTTATATTTCTTAAATATTTAATTAATTTTCTTTGTTAATAATGCACTTTGTGCATTAAAATTGGATCTTCATCCACAAAATGTACATTTAGAATCTTCTGTATTTGCTAATTAATACATCATGTAGTGAAAGAATTGAAGAATTATCTAAATAATGCATTTAGAATTTCTTAGCTTTTTTAAATTCTAGGAAATACTTATGGATGAAATAATATTGAGGAACTAAAAATTATATTTGGGTCAAAAAGTGCTTTGTAATGCCGCCTCTGTTATTAATTATATTTGTCTGTTCAACAGTCATGGCCCTTTCAACAGCCAGTCAACAGGAAGACTGTCAAAGATTATTACAATGTTGTCAAACGACCCATGGACCTTGCAACATTACTCAAGGTACTTGTCTATGTACATACAAGAGTGTAATTCCTAGGACTCGGTGAATAAAATAAGCTAAACAATCCATTTCATGTCATTTTTAGTCTTATAATTTCTCTTGCTGTAGCCCTAACATCAGTAGTCATACCAGAGATTAGGCACAAAGGTCCAAACGTAAGTAGTCATACCAGACATAGGTGCAAATGTCATTAGTCATACCAGATACTAGGTACAAATTTCCTAAATATAAGTAATCATACCAGACATTAGGTACAAATGTCCTAATGTCATTAGTCATACCAGATACTTGGTACAAATGTCCTAAATAAAAGTAATCATACCAGACATGAGGTACAAATTGTCATAATTTTTTTGTTTGTATGCTGTTGCTTTTTGGGTCAAAAATATGTAAAAATAATAATAAAATTAATCTCTCTAAAAACGTGTATATCTTGCTCTGAATATAATCAGCTATAATTTGTGCTAATTTAATGACATACAATTTATAGCATAAAACTTGCTTCCCTATGGCATCAGTAAATATTTTGCTAACAAATACTTGCATAATTTATTCACTTGATTTCATTAACATAAGGTAGACAATGCTGAAAAGGCTTATGTTTAAATTGGTAGGATTGAGTGGAAAATTTCTCACCATTTTGTATACAGCTAAATGTGTATATTTTATCGGAAAAAAATTAAGATTCTGCAAAAAATTATTATTCACTAAAGAATTTTTATCTTTAATGGATTGCAATGTATGTGGTTACTCATATGTCAGTATCAAAAAGTCATACGATGAGAGCTGTAGACAGGACTCACAGCCAGTAAGTAATTCAATACCTTGTGTTATATTGTTTGTCTCCAGAATGTCCAGTCCCACAAGTACCATAGCAAAGACCAGTTTGTGGAGGATGCTGAACTCCTGTACACCAACAGTCTCCAGTACAATGGTCCAGAACATGCGTACACCAGCACAGCCAGGAAACTCATGGAGATCTTGAAAGATGAACTCAATGAGGTCAGTCAGTTGAACTTTACAACAGTTTACAGCACAGGGTGTGTTACTGGGTGCATCTGTGACTTTACAATGTGTTACTTAGCATATCCATGTTTCAATTCAGCTGCATTAAACATGCACAGACGTTGATGTTAACAAAACAGACAGATTTTATGAATGTTATATGAGTGGCCATATTTTTTCAATTGAAATCATTGATGATATAAAAGTGGTCATATTTAGTCATTTGAAATCCTCGGGTTGCAATTTTTCATTCAGAAATAACCATTTAACTATTTTTTGGTTTAATGATTGAGTCCATTGTCTGATTTCTTGTTGCTAGAAAGATGAACACATTCTGCAGCTAGAAGCTGATATTAGAGCTGCACAGGAAGCTGCGCTTGATGCAGCGGACACGGACAGCATGACAGGAACCTCAATTAACAGGGATGACAACAGCATGCTAGGTAAGTTAATTGGTGCAGTAGGCTTTTAGGGGTGATGATGGTGGGGGGAGTTGTTGTCATGTTGAAAGTGGTTGTGGGGGGGGGGGGGGGGTGGTGTTAAATGAAACATTATATAGAACCCCAAAAAATGTTCTCCAGGAACCAGTTGAGCTGAACTTAAAGAGATCAACATGACAAATTAAATCCTCTTAATTTAAAAATTAAATCCTCTTTAAAAATTTAAATCCTCTTAAATTTAGTATAATTCCCATGTAAATACACCAAGCATTGTTTATGATGCTAATGTACTAAACCAAGCATTGTGTTGAATGCATAAGTAAATACACCAAGCATTGTTAACACAATGCCTAAGTAAATACACCAAGTAAGCATGTTTTTGTTACAAGATAAATGTAATCAGTTGTCAAGCATTTAATTAGATCTGTTAATTGTTTGCTGCAATTTAAATTTGAGAATTAACAGCTTTGTAAATTTTTTTTTTTTTAGAATTCCATTAAATTTCTAGTCAAAGTAATTCAAAGTTGTTTATATAACTGGTTATTATTTTTTAAGCGTGCAGCAGTTTCTTTTTGCCACCCATGCTCATGAGCTGCTTGGTACATAGCACGGATATTGCTAATATAAAAGCAGTATTGAGGTGCTGTAATAACTGAAAAATACACCTTCATATTCAGGGTGTGTCTAGCTCAAATATGTTGTTGTGCTGCAAGGTGTTCAAAGGCAATATTTGTTTTGTCCTCAGATACTGAAAGTCTTGATGGGTTCAGTGTGGGCACCAAGGAACACATGACCATAGCAGAGGACGACACCAACTCAGCCATGAGGACATTCAGTGAGCATGGAGAGTATTCTAAAGTAAGTTTGTACACAGCAGAGCAATGGAATGGTGGGGGAAATATTTATTAACTTTTAATAAATAGTTGTATTTGTTTAGTTGATTTTTAAAAAATTTTTTTAATAACAAAAGATATATAAAGAAATTTTTGTTTAGATAGGAAGTCATTGCATTTCATTCAAACTATAACAGTGAACTAATACTTGGGATTATGTTTGTATTCTACTTGTTTCAACTTCTCAGGCCGGCCATCATGTGTCAGATTCTGAGTTTGTTGACATTGAAGGGGACGAAGAATCTGGACAAAGGAACCAGGTATGTTTACTAAGGAGACTAGTTGGGTAATGAGTACTAGGGGAGACTGGTTGGATGATGTGTACTATGGAGACTGGTTGGATAATGTGTACTAGGGAGACTGGTTGGATGCTGTGTACTAGGGAGACTGGTTGGATGATGTGTGTTAGGGAGACCATTTTGCCAATGCTCGTTGGCTGGATCACAAATTTACTGTAAAATGAAAATTGAAATAAATTTTAACAGTGTTTGCGATGTCATTGCTTCTTTCATGTTTGATGATTTATTTTCAGCGAGGAAGGTATGTTGATGAAGGTGAAGATGATGACCTTGCCAAGGACCTTCATCTTTCAGATGGTGAGGAAGAAGAGGAGGAGGATGAGGATGATGACACCAGCTTGGGTAAGAACTTAAACTAAGGAAACTGATACACTTAGGTAAATATATAGAGTCCAGTGTGAACACTTAGGTGAACATACAGAGTCCAGTGTGAACACTTAGGTGAACATACAGAGTCCAGTGTGAACACTTAGGTGAACATACAGAGTCCAGTGTGAACATGTAAGCTTGGGTAAACATTTACGTTAATAAACACATACACTTGGGTACAGGTAGATTTGTTTAAACATGTACACTTGGGTAAATATGTACACTTGGCTGGATACGTACACTTAAATAAGCACCTAAATTTAGATTAACATCCACACTTTTATCTTTTTAAATCTATGATATATTTATTGCATTGCTGATTGTCCATGACGCTGTGCCAGGAACTTTTATACAGAGGATATTTGATCTTTACGTGTTTATTGATAGTTATTACAAGTCAATATTATTTATAGAATATGGGGTGGCTTTTTTGGCTAATCATTGTTTTTTCCATGTTCTTATAATTTTCCAAAGTCATGGTTGAAACCATTTCAATGAATTTCTTTCCCACTAGGAGAACTAAATGAGTCGGGAGATCCCCAGCAAGGGGAGCAATCGATGGAAGTAGAAGAGGAGGAAGAGCTGGGAGGCTATGATGAAAACGCTCGCTCTTACTTCGACAGCCAGGGAGAGGAGGTCATAGAAGGTGACGCACTGTTTTTGTCTCGTCGGGGTCATTCAATGTTTACTTTATACTGATATAGGTTTCCTTTTTTTAAAACTTTATTTATAGATTTACTTGAGCTATTGAAAGGATAGCTACATTATTTAAAGACAGATTTTAATGACCATCTTTACTTGTAGTCTTTTTTACAATTTTTTAATTCCTCATTTTCGTTTTTATATTTTGGACAATTCTTCATGAAATTTTTTGTATGTTCTTGTAACTAATTTATTTATTTGTTTATATGTTGTTATCTTTAGAAATGTCTTGTATTGTTGTAGCATCAATACACTTCATCTGTTTACTGCTTGTAGGTGACGTTTGTTATCTTTTATGATGTCTTCTAATGTTGTAGCATCAGATGACTTGATCTGTTTACTCCTTGTAGGTGAAGCCTACGGTGCGGGTCAGTTTGAAGAGGAAGGGGACAGCTTTGACCCCAGTGAATTCTTCAAGAACAGCGCCCTGGCGTCCGCCCAAGCTCAGGCTCAAGCCGAGGGTGGTGTCGACATCAATGATGACCTGCAGATATCCGACGACAGTGATGACGAGCGACGGGGAGAGGTGGGCGCGGCCAAGCAGCAGGAGCCAGAGGAAGAGGAGGAGCCGTATCCCATTATACCCACTGAGAACCAAGCCACAGAAGGTTTTGACATCAATGAGTACTTGTGATGATAGTGTGGTGGCTTAGTAACAGCAATTAGTACAGTCCCTCACCAGACAAAACAGAAACGTTGAATTGGGCCTCATTGAAGATTCTCAGCTTTGATGATTGAGGCTTGTTGGGTGTTTCTGGTCCATGACTTGATCTGACCTGGTCCATGGTTAGATCTGACCTGGACCATGGCTAGATCTGACCTGGTCCATGGCTTGATCTGTCCTGGTCCATGGCTAAATCTGACCTGGTCCATGGCTAGGTCTGACCTATTTCATGACTTGATCTGACCTGGTCCATGGCTAGATCTGTCCTGGTCCATGGCTTGATCTGTCCTGGTCCATGGCTTCATCTGACCTGGTCCATTGCTTCATCTGACCTGGTCGATTATTGAAAAACTCCAGTATGGATGATCAGTTCAGTTTGAGAGAAATTGAGGAGCTTATGGTACCACAATGCATTAGCTCAACCTTACACTATGTGTACTGGTTGTTTGTACATAATTATTTAAATATTGATTAATATTTGCCAAGACATGAAATGGTTTGTGTGACAATCAAATGGAATTGTTGCTCTACTGTTGACATGGTGTCATTGATGCCCTAGTGTTGACATGGTGTCATTGTTGCTCTACTGTTGACATGGTGTCATTGTTGCTCTACTGTTGACATGGGGTCATTGTTGCTCTACTGTTGACATGGTGTCATTGTTGCTCTACTGTTGACATGGTGTCATTGATGCCCTACTGTTGACATGGTGTCATTGTTGCTCTACTGTTGACATGGTGTCCACTTTAGACTTGATGATTTGATGTGCAAGAAATAATTCTATAGCCTGGTCTTTACAAATGAATGTAAGCCAACTTTATTATTGGATATGAAATGACAAGACCCTGTTGTTTAGCTTAATTGCTTGTAATTATTAAACAAAAATTATTTTAACAGTGTCAGTGGAGGAGCATTATTTTAAAATTGTCTAATGTCATGGTTAGAGACGGTGTTAATGTTCATGTCATTTTCTTGTAAGAAGAATGTGTAAATAGTGATGCAGTTAGTGTTGATTCTTTTGAAGGCAGCTTATTCAATGTACAGTAATGACCTTCTGTAGATAGACTTCATGTTTTATATTTATACTTGATATAGTTAAAAGGCAAATTATGGAAGGGGGAGATTTTTATTTTGAATGTTGACAGTGATTTCAATCTTCTTCACTCTTATTAAGTTGTTTCTTTTCTTTTGATGTTTATTTTTAAATGCTAGTTTTAAGTTTTCATTCAGCTAAACATTATTAAGCTTATGAAAATTAAGAGCCTTTATATGATATCAAGATTATATGTCTTACTCTGACCCCATGTAGCCATTGGTTTGAATAGAACAGTCATGGCTTGTACAGCTCTCACAGTCTTTTTGTGTGTGATTGAAATTTAAGTATTCATTTCAATAAGTTTGTATAAAAATAGGAATTCTGAAAGAAAAAGATTCTTATTGCCACATTACATCTCTGTAATGGTATCTGGCACTGTTGGTAAACATTCATATAACTTGGTGTCGTTTTATAGACTTAATTTTTTTTGCATTTAGCTAGTCATTTCAAATTTATGTAAGAATTTTAAATTATCAAAGGGAAATTAATCTTGCTTTTATTTATTTTTTTTACATTTATGTCCCATCTGAGAAAGAGACCAAAGCTATTTGAGGAAAATTATTTCATATTCATAGGAAATAAAAATGTATAATTCTGTTTATGTGCAATTGTTGAATGAAATATTTTAAGTGAATCTTTGTTAAGAAATCATGGGAAATCATGACAATGTTATTTACCAGGTGCATGACTGATGAAAAAATTGCTGAAAGTATGAACATTTTAATGTGCTTTATAACTGGGGAATATATTACAAATTTATAAATTTGTTTTATAGGAAATGTCATTTAAAAGTCAAGTTTTTATGACTGTGAATATTGCTTGCATTTTGATATTCTTGATTAAACTAACTTTAGTTTCTTTTACATAAAAATAATAATGTACTTTTTCCAAAGGAATATGTTAGGCCATCTAATGCCTGTTATTTAATCTATAATTATGTATATAAAAAATGTAGAATCAAATTTCATCAGCTAATCCTGAGGTTTATCTACTTGTGATGTTTCTACTCTGTCATTGTCTGAAGTATTGGCCCTCACACAGATATTACCATTATACCGCTGAAAGGCGTTAAAATTACTTTTATCAGGAAAAATCTAAAGCCCATAATGGTCATGTTGAATATTTTCAAAATTATCCACCTCAAGAAATGTTTGTAATAGTTTGCTATAGTTTCTTTATATGACAACAACATCCTTAAACTAAAGTTATCATTTAACAATAGTAACTTAGCTGCAATTAGTAAAATGTCTTACCTGCCAGTTAGTATAGTAACTTACCTGCCATTAGTATAGTGACTTACCTGCAGTTAGTATAGTGACTTACCTGCAGTAAGGTTAAAACACTCACTTAGCTTATTGTTTTTTATGACTAGAGGAATGTTGGTTTTTTAAAAATTCTTATATTTCAAATGAGTGGCGAGGCTAGGAGTGTGAAAATATTGTAGTCCTAATGTTTTAAATATGTGCCTCGAACCCAAGGAGGGCGTTATGCCCCTACCACCCACCCCCAACCGTGACAAGGATTATGATAGACCAGTGGTTCTTAACCTTTTTGGAGGTACCGAACCCCACCAGTTTCATATGCGCATTCACCAAACCCTTCTTAATAAGAAAAATTAATTTTTTTTTTTTTCTGATTTTTTTTGGACCTCCGCCGAACTCCTGAGACTGACTCACCGAACCCCTGGGGTTCGATCAAACCCAGGTTAAGAACCACTGTGATAGACTGATGCCACAGTGCTCATCTTACACAAACCATCTTTATTCACATATTAAACAACCATCACGACGTATGCTCTCTTTTAATCAAACTTTTTTAAAGCCATTTTAAACATTTCTTGTCACACGCAGCAAAAATAAATCAAAGAAAATATTTAAGGGAATATAGAGATATAGGACAGAAACCAAAACTAAACACAATATTATTTTCATTCCCAATAATTTTTTACAGACTATGTATGACAGACAACGTTAAATTAATTAAAAAAAACTTTTTTGTCAGGCTTAAGATTATTTAATGTTGTAGTTGTTTATAAGATTCAATAAGAAAAAAATTACTAGGCAAATATCCAGTAATAACAATTCTGTTTCAAGCCCGACTGTCGTCTTTACACTTTGGAACTTTAAAGTCTAAGCTATCAGTAAACTTTAAAAGTTACAAGATGATGATTCTTTAAAGACTTCTCTTAATTGCTGTGCTAAAATTCTGATATGCCTGAAGCACAATCGATGGAGGAATAAATATGAAAGTTCATCTCATTAAGATCAAGTTATAACTTCTTTCTATTTGAATCATAATAAAATATACAGAACAAAGCAAACCCAATGAAAAATTACAAAAGCATAAGAAAAGTATAAATTAATGTTATTATAATAGTAAAAAAAATGTAGCATGTTATATTTTAATGGTACAAGTTATAAAAGTAAATTTTCATTGGGTATAATAAGATGTAAAATATAAGATTGAATGTGTCACAATAATGTCCATGGGTAACTAGTTTTAAAAGTCTTTATGTACATTTTATAAAGCCCAGATCCTGTTCAAAATGCCAGCGTACACTCAAGAGTGTGCACTCCTCACGGTCAACCTCACCTCACAGTGGTTCACCAAACTTCTTCATACAGACCAATGTTAGGGAGACAACAAAAACTAATGGTCTCTCAAGACTGAAAACAATAGATAATCAATGTCACTGCTACGTACCGTTATAATATTTTAACAATTTAATCTGTTTTAAGATTTGTCTTGTTAGAAGAACAATACGTAACAAAGGCCTGGAACCAGTGTACTAAGAAAATGATACCAAAGTTAATGAATTTTACAATAATCAATTTATTTACATAACAATTATGATGCCATAATCAATAATATGTTGATTTATAAATAAGAAAAGGAAAATTATATATATATATATATATATATATATATATATATATATATATATATATATATATATATATAGACAGATAGATATCAACTTACAGCACCTGAATATGTCTAGTTAAATGAAAGGTAAAAAAAATAGTAATCTGCACACATTGAAAGTATTTATTAATAGACATAAGTAATATGAATAGTGAACATATTAATCCACACTAATAATGGAAATGTTCTGGAACCAGCTCCCCTTCCATATCCGTCATTGTGAAACCTCGTCCATTTTCAAAAAGTCCCTTAAAACTCATCTGTTTAGGTCCGCCTATGACCTGTGATGCACCCTCCTTGCCCTGCCTCATTTTCTGT